AACTGAAAACTGCATTAAACATAGTTCTAAAGAAAAGTATCACGGAAATTTTAAAAAATATTTTCATTAAATAAAAAGGAAAAATATTAAGAAAAGGGAAAATATCGTAGTACATTCCTATACAACTGAAAAGAGGAGGCGAGGGAAGGGAGAAGGGCTAAAGGCATGAAACCTGTCTCTCCCCAGATGGCGTATTCGAGTGTTGCGATCGCGAATATCCTCAAGGCAGATGGGACATGTTACCGGAATGGTGTAAAACCATTGTTCGGAGGCGATGCCCTAATGCCTCCGTTATCCGATAACCTCTAGAAAACCAAATATCTTCGATTTCTTCCAGCCATCGTAGGCCAAATACTTATGCCCCGATTCTACGAGGTCAGACTCTTCCATAGACGATACATCCTCAGGAAGACTATTAGGAAACACCAATCGTATTTGATCAAAAATAATCGGCAATAAATTCGAAATTATATTGAAATTTTGCATGATGTTATTCGTTCAATATTTTATTAAAATATAATAACTCCTCGGTGAGCGAGCTTTTAAAGATATTCATTTGCATTTCTTTTTTGGCCATGAGACAGAAGATTAAATCCCACGCACTACCGGAAGTTATGATCCCGCAGTGGACTGATCGTTAAGACACGGTTCTCAGCAGATCACCGAAGTCAAGCATCACTGGCTACGGTCAGTGTGCGGGTGGGTGACCACTTGGATCAGTCTGCGTAGGGACCGAGGATGTGCGGTATTGGTCCTCGTTATACTGTTCTACCGTAAAGTGCTCGACTTCACGTGCAGGTCGTCAGGCTACCGAAACGGGGGTGCCATCCCCTCTGCTGAGGATCAAAATCGTAATGGCATGTCTTCGAAACATCCTCAGGGATGTTTCCCAGCCGTCGACAATAGCCCACTGTGCAGCTCTAGTGCGACGTGAATGAACTACAACAACAACCGGATGTTATGTGTGAGAAGCACTTTCTAGATGTTATGCTTGGGTACGACGGTGAAAAGTCCCACGTGAGGTGAACTCTTGAACCAGTGAACACCATGAACTCTTTCAAGAAACGGCACATGTAATGCATTTGGAAAGAAAAACATCACGTGACATTCAATCCCAAGCCTCGATTCTTACTGCTCTGTTGTGACGCAGAATTTTGGTTTTTTTTAAATGTCTGACGCGTCCGATGAAAACGCAAACTCCCCCATGCCCAATATTGGCCAGCAAACATGATAAGCAAAACCAGAAAGCCTCCGCAGAAGCCATTTCAAACAAAAAATTGATTTCAATGCACCCAAGAGGTCCACCCCCAATGCTGGCCTCGTGTCCATTTTAAAAAAGAGGGGACGAGTCCCCAAATAGGGGGACTCATCCCATTTTTTTTAAAAAAATCGCTTTGATATAAAGTTAAATGTACACGGCTTCTCGGCACATGGGGCAAGTCCTTTGACTGGTGCGCATCCAATCGACCAGACATTGTTCATGGAACTTATGCTGGCAATGCGTGCGTTGAGGAATCTCCCCCATCTCTTCCAAGCAAATCGGGCAGGTCTTGGGTGGCGTGTAGTACCACTGTTCAAATGGTAGCCTGAAGAGGCAATTGCGAATTTCACTGGCCAGGCGAATCCGCAATGCATCTGTCACGTGATACCCTTTCGAAAACCAGTGAACCATAATATTTCGTATCCTTTTCATACCAAATGAATTAAAGGTCCGGTTAGCGGGGCTTCCGTAACCCTTTATTATCCTCAGACTCTTGGCGCAACTCTCGATCGACAAACTTCTTGAAAACACCCCTCACCCGCGTCACATCAGAGTATTTATTTTATTTTATTGGAATAACATACATTTGCAGGCTTGTGTGCTCAATTAAAGCTTATAAACCTTTGTCAAGTAGAAGGACAGATAGCAAAACACAGAGAAGAATATCACGAAAAATACATCCAGGGATACGGTGGGATTCGAACCCTCCACCTCCACGCTTAACAGAGCGTTTGGCTAGCGACACCGTTCGGCCAGGGAGGCCCCCCACATCAGAGTTACCTTCCGGATCGAGGAATCGAAGCACTGGATGCGCATCGTTCCCCAATTCCACGACCTCCGGCTCCTCCATCGACAACACCTCATGGGAAAGAATATAGGATAGAGACACCTGATCCGGTGCCAAGGGAAAGATATTACTTACAATAAAATGTTTTGCCATCTCGAATCGACTCTAAGTCAAAAATATAACGGCTCCTCGGCGTGCGAGACTTTTTATAGACAAACAGAGGGAGCTCGAGTCGTCATGACGCAATGGTATATTTTAGAAAACGCCACGGGGCCTGGAAATGGTCACCCGATGCACTTCCAGGATATCACGTGACAAAACATCCGATCGATTGAAACCCTTTCGAAATGCGTTTCCAAAAACCCGTGCGACAAGGCACATCCGCCAGATGCAGTTTTAGGATGTTGTATGACAGGACAACCAATCGACTCTATATAATCACCGGATGCGTTTCCAAGAAGTCGTGCGAAAACATCCGTCCGATGCAGTTTTAGGGTGTCGTAAGACAGGACACTAGATTATAATCACCGGGTGCGCTTCCAAGAAGTCGTGCGACAAAACACATTCGCCAGATACACTTACAGGATGTCACGTGACAGGGTATCCGTTCGAAACAACATAATCACCCAACCCTCGATATCAAAACCACAGAGTGACAACACTTTCAAAACATTCCGTTGTTGTTAATTTACGTCGCACTAGAGCTGCACAATGGGCTATTGGCGACGGTCTGGGAAACATCGCGGAGGATGATCCGAAGACATGCCATCACAATTTTGATCCTCTGCGGAGGGGATGGCACTCCCGCTTCGGTAGCCCGACGACCTGCACGTGAAGTCGAGCACTTTACGGTAGCACAGTTCAACGAGGACCAATACCGCACACTCTCGGTCCCTACGCAGACTGATCCAAGTGGTCACCCACCCGCACACTGACCGTAGCCAGTGATGCTTGACTTCGGTGATCTGCTGGGAACCGTGTCTTAACGATCAGTCCACTGCGGAACTTGAAACATTCCGAGGATGGGGTTCCACTGAAATCGTTCGACAGGCCATCTCCCCAAAGTCTGAGTGAGGAATAGCGCTATCATTTGAAAGCGTGGTCTGAATCCCAGGGCCTGGCTTGGACATTGTATTGCGTGAATCATTTGATAAAGAGACATCCCAGGGATTTGAAATCTTTGAGAGGGTTGGGTGGTTGCGTCGCGTGGATCATTTGAAATGGCCTGGCTCTGAGATCCTGGGGGTGGGGGTTTGCGAGATGAATTGGATTCCGAGCTCATTGGCCCAAGGACATTCTGATGATGAGTTGAGACTGTGTCGAGACTTGGCTCAAACGCTCAACTGCAAAAAAAAAAAAATTACCGGAAGTAGGTGCGGCGAAATGACAACGACCACCAAATAGTTGTTTCGAAAAAATTTGGCTCGACCCAAATTCTTTGGACGAGTGAAAAAAAAGTTTTTCCATGCATGGTATTAAAAAGCCTGTGAATCAATCTTACTCAAGCTACACGATTTCGTGTAGCCTATTAATAGCTCGCACCTATTAATAGCATTATTCTCCACTGTTATTTTCCCTCTCTTTCAACATCTATTTTTAGAAAATATACATGACATATCTCTTCCAACACGCGAAAAGATGAAATGTAAAAAATCGAAAACCCCCAACCCAAAGCCCCCACACCACCCCATTATGCGAGTCCACCCATGGATTTTAGAAATTTTTTAATAAAAAACATTTTACAAAATTGAACACGATCCCATTCGAAAGCTCCGCGATTCCAGAGCCTATCAAGTTTCAAGATCAGCACCCTCATGTTTCAAGATAGTTAAGTTTTTCCACAAACAAGCAATTTTTCAGATGAAAAAGCATCTTTACTAAAATCTTCTTTCAAGGCATTACAGCCCGTTGCAGGCCAAGACCGTCCTAAGTAGGCATTGCCATCTGGTTCTTTAGTACACTACATACTTTTTTGTTTAATTTCAATTGCCTTTAACTCTAAGCAAATTAAGTTCATAGAAACAAGTCTCAAAAACATAACCACAACAGTTTTTGTTAACAGTGCCCCCAAAACGATTTTAGCTCTGCTTACGGCAGACCAGGTAGCCAAGCGATCAGTGTGCCTGACTGCAAAGCCAATGGTAGCAGGCTTAATTATCAGTCAGGGCATGAATGTTTCTCTCTCTGTGTTTGCTCACTGTTGTGTGATGTGCAAATGTGGCCCACCCTATGATTGAGTGCTGTATTAGTTTTGTTTAAGAAAAATGCCTCAAGTTATTCCTTTTCTCTCTCCAACTGACCTTTCATTTCAAACCAAACATTATAAATTTTTTTTAAAGAAAAGAAAGGACAAAATGAAGCATATTAACAGTCATATATTTTATTATATCAAAAAGAAAAAACATCATTTTAACAGTCACAATTAGGAATATTATAACAGAAACTAGAAGCCGAGTATAGAATTCATATCTAGTTTCAATATGACTAAAAAATGCCATTTGGTTCAATCTATACAATATAACACTCCTTATAATTGATTTGTAACAAATATGGGATTTTGGCACCAGGTTAATTAACATCAGCATTTCAAAAATAATGCCTTCAAAGCAAAATGATAAGAAGAAATAAAATTATTACTAATGTAGTTGAACTAACCGAAGTTGTGGTTGAGCAGTTTCAGAAAAATATTTACTTACCAATTCGGAATTTTTTTTTTAAGTTTCAGAGGTATAAAATTATATTAAGAATGTATTTGTTTTTGTACAGATATTATTAGTTGTGATTTAAGAATTATGTCCAAAAAAACTCATCATGCGAATTGAAGAGATAGGTTTATGAAGATTTTAAGATCATACAATGAGGATTGCTATTGAATAAATTAATGCTGTTGTTAAATGTGATAGTTTCTTTCAGAAATCTTAATTAAAAAAAAATGTCACTATTAAAAGCCTTTCAATTAAAGTCCAGTAATATTAAAAAACAAAATCGGAATGTTTAATTTAACTCCCAACTAGCTTTTGTAAATTATAAAATTCGAAAAAAAAAAAAAAAANAAAAAAAAAAAAAAAAAAAAAAAAAAAAAAAAAAAAAAAAAAAAAAAAAACATTACTTTGAAAAATAACAAAATGTATGTACAAATTTTTTTTTCTATATCGAATTTCTTGCAATTATTTATAGTGCATAAAAACAAGAAAGTATACGAAAACTATGATAAAAGATAGCAAAACCTAAAACATAGCTTCTTAACCTGTATATCATGATTTAAAATCATGCAGTAGACACACCCAAGATACGCCAACAAAGTTACTTATAAATTTCATTGATTAGCTTGCACACAAGAGCAAAAAAATTGGTACACAAATGATTTTGTGCTTCAAACAATATAAAACACAAAAAATTGTAACATGTAAATTTTTCTCTTATTTATTTTTACAAGTTAATAACAATACACCAATGAGCATGATATTCTAATAACTCTTGGTCAAATAATTTAAAAGTCATATGCTTATTAAATTTTTTTTACAAGTTAATAATGAAACGTCAATGTGTATAATATTCTAGTAACTTTTGGTCAAATAATAAAAAATTCATGTACACATTATTTCAGGCTCACTATAAGGAAAATCAAAAAACTTTGATCAATTACCTGATATTTCTACAATTTAAAATCTAATATTTTTTTGCCATCAGGATAAATAGGAAATTTTTTTTAAACAACTTTTCTCCTACATATTGAAACAATGTGAATTCTACAATTCTTTTAGCAAATTAAACTCCCAGCAGTTCTGACAATATTAACTAAAAAGTGAGATATTCAATTTATTAAAATATTGTTCTAAGTAGATTTATATGATGCCAAATATTAAGAGCATAAGATAAAAGAAATAAAAATCTAATTTCAAATCCTTTTTCTCATCAAATTGCTTGCTTAAGTAATTTATTATTCAAGTTCATTCAAAGGAAAAAGGGGCAACTTGGATTTTATCTGAACTTATATAATATATCATTGTACCTTAATATGCAAAATTATAAGTTCAATTGTTGTTCATTATTTCAGAATTATAAAATAAATAATAATAAATAAATTAATAAATAAATAAAAAAAAATAAAGGGAAGAAAATATTTTTTAAATCAGCTATTTAATTTTAGAGGCTTATTTATGCAATAGGAATATTTGTTTTAATCACACTCTAGTTAAATGACTATTTTCCTATAAATGCATGTGTCATTGTGTTAGTAAACAAAAATGTCAAATGTTAGTTTTAACTTAGATACTTTTAGTTAAAAAATTAATTTCAAAAAGTATATTTGTGATCAATAACACATTTATGAAGAGAGACGTACATACAACTATTGAATCAGTAAAACCTGGTTTGATAAATATATATATATAAAATAATAATCTTTTACTTGGATATGACTAATGCCTGTAATGCTGTGGGAGTGCTTGCCAATGTACTTCAAACAAGTAGAAAAGAACAGAAAAGAGTATGAAGTTTTTTTTTTTAATTTTAGATTTTTGTACTTACTATTTTATTTAAACTCATTTAATATCTACTAAATACGATTACTTTACTGCAAAATATCTTTTTTACTGACTTCCCACAATCATAGCATAACCTGATATCAAAAGCTTGCAGCACAAGTGGCTCATAACTTTAAGTGAATATTTTCACCTCAGTAGGATTTAATTTCCAAAGCAGAATACATTTATTTTTGAGCTAGTGGCAAGAGGAACAAAAAGTCAGGCTTCTTGTAAATAGAACTTTAATAAACATCAGTTTAACAATGTTCTGTGAATGCGACATTTTATGTTATTTATATCTACAAATAAAAGTTAAAAGATCATATACATGATTTACAATTTAAAATCTACAATACAGAGTAAGGTTTTCTTATATTGCTATCTATGGGCAACTTAAAATGAAACAAAATTAAAAGCCAGACACAAGCTCTTTAGATACAAACACAGATCATAATATTTAAAAGCATTACTTTTTGTAAAGAAAGAAAATCAGTATCTTTTCTTTATTTAACAATGACCAGTGGTAGTAAAAGGCTTGACCATCATTTAATACATGCAAAGTGTATGAGAATTAGCTTCTTGATTTTAACACACATAAACACTTGAAAGAATTACAGTAATCTCTTATCATGGTGGGCTTTCAATCGGAAATATTCTACATTTACACTAAAACATGAAGTAGGCAATGTGTAATTTAATTAAAGCTCAGATCTTGTTGATATTTGCAATATTTATTATGGTTGTTACAGACTTCTTTTTTTTTAAGGATATTTTTGAGATTCAGGGATATTGGTTTTTTATATGCATTTCTTACATTACATGATGTTGTACGGTCTATAAAGATTATATATATATTTTTATATCTTTCATAACATATAAAATACTAGTATTTTTTCATATTTAAATATTTTTTGGCATTTGATCACTTTTTATAAGAACTTTTTGTAATATTTTTGATATTGGTTTGGTATCGTAACTCATATCTTTGGCAACCTTGTTTTACATTCATGTTCATACTTTTCCTGTTTAAGATTTCTTACATCAGCGAAAATTACATCTTGACTTAATATAATTATTTTAATACAATTATGTGCAAATTTAGGAAAGAAATAATTCAGACTGAAATTCTTATTTAAATATGAGGATTTTTAAAATCATTTTAAAAGACAACTAAGAAAAGGAAAAAAAGTGAAACTAATTATTAAATTTCTTCTAAAAAAGGGAATCTAAACACCATGGAAGGATCCTTCAAAGAGAGAAAAAGAAATTTTTTAAGTGGAAATTTAAGTGAATATTTTTCAAACTCATCAATGGTCAACAAAAGTTTAATGTACAGCTTGGTTTGGTACCACTAGAGTTTGATACTGTGAAACCAGTTAAGCGACCTTCAGTCCAACTTGACCTTAATGACTAAGCATTAAACATGTGAAAACAAGCAAATTTCCCTTTTATAAGTTGACTACTAGCGTAAGTGGACTATCAAATTGCTACTATACAAGTGGTCAACTTGCTCAAAATACACTGCAATGACAATGGCATGGTAGCAGAGGATATTCTGGTCATAGGATCTGAGGATCAAGCAACACGACTAGCTCAAATGTGTGCCTAAGTTATAAAGATAATGCTCTTGCTGAGTAACACACTTTTCGGAAAGGGAGAGCTTGGGGCGGGCTTTCATTGAAGCTACCAGTATTGAAATGAAAATCAATATGCATGTCATTGGAACAAAAACTGTATGTATTTCTCAAGGAGGAGTAATAATTTGAAATAAAAAATTGACTAAATTTCCTCCAAATATAGATATACTCATTAGGGTTTCAGGAATGACAAGAAGTTTTATAACAGGTGAACTAATTATCTCCAATGCGTGACTGCAACATCAAAACATGCTTGTAAATTTTAAGAGCAGGACCAAGTTTGATACCTAATCCAGTCAGAACATCATTCCTTTTCATCAGTAGTAGGGAAAGACCATCTATTTCCTGAAATAAAGATGATAAATTCAACTTTGTGCAACTGTAAATATATATACATGCAGTGAAACCTAAGCAGACACTCTTAGGACCAAAAAAATTGTCCACGAGAGTTGTCAGTTTACAGGAAGGGTACCCTAATAATGAAGTTTAACACTGTAAATTCTTTTCAATGATATAGAAATAATTAAATAATCTACAATAACTCTCTATAAAGATATTTATATAAACTTTAAAAAATATTTTTTTCCATACAAATATTAGATTAGATATAGATTAAAAAGTTTGATACAAATACATAATTCTGGATGTAGCTACAGATAAATTAATGTAATTTTCCTATTAACACAAATATTCAAGTTAGTCATATGATACCGAATAGGAGCTTGTAGTCCCTTGTCGGTTTCAATTATTAGCTTTACACCCTCTAACACCAACCTATCACTTGATAAGTAACATGGCGCAATTCGCAGGAGAAAAAAAAGAGAAAGCAATGCTTACTTGTAAGGCACGAAAACCTATGGAGTTCATATATTTACAATTAATTATCAATCAAGTGTCTGAATAAATGTTTTATTTATAGGAATACCTAAAAAATTATATTTCTGCTCTCTTTTTTTTTTGCCCCAGCTGTATTAAATTCAGACTCATAACATTCCAGGGCAAAATGACTGTCCGCCTCTGGTTACGGGAGTGTTCACTTTGAGGAGAATGTACATAATGGTTCATTCATAGAAGATTAACGGGGAATCAAAAATATGTTCGTATTTCAGGAGTCTCCACAACAGGAAGTTTTACTGTATATAAATAGCACAATGAATTTAATGATATAAGATATCCAATTATGTACTTTTTTTAAAGACATTTACACTTTATAAAATATATACAATACTAAATTAATTTTAAATACACAACAGCCTTAAACTGAATCTGCAGATGCATATATATCATGTCAGGTATGTAGATGTTTTCAGAAATTCTAAATAAAGAGAAAATACACAAAAAGAAAAAAATCTGTATATATATATGCAAACACAGTGGAAAATCCCATATATGGAATTGTCAGGATTTTGGCAAGCTGGAAAATAGATTTTTTCCAGATAATAGGTCTAACATAAGCAAAACATCCTTATTCAATAAAAAAATAACAAAAAGACGATAATTAATGTCAACTCCAAACAACAATGTGGTTTGTGTGGTAGTGTTTTTGTTACAGATTTCCACAAGTTTTGTGCACTCTAAAATTGAGTGTGTGATTTGTGGCGATAATGAGAAAAAAATAGGCATTTTTTTTTTTGGTTGCAAGTGAAATGCAGAATTTAGTTTACATGATAGCTTATTTCTTTTCTTTAGATTGTAGAGGAAATCGGATTAAAAGTGAACAAAAATCGGAAATCTGGTAAAAATCATAAAGAAGCATAAAAGCGGAGGACTCTCATTCTTGCAGACTATATTTTAACAGGTGGCAAATGTTAAAAAAAAAGAAGCCCCCCCCATTTTGATGGTTAAAAAGTGTCCGATAAAAGACTCTGATATGGGAATTTGTATATAAATATATATATATTTTTGATCGACTCCTGAGTATTTTAAAAATTCTGTAATTATTAAAATGTTAATTGGATTGAAATCTGAGCTACATAAAGTTATCGATTCAAATTTCTGAAACAATTAATTTCTATCGTACAAGATTTAGTAATCCCCAGCTTTTAAAAATAGTAAATGAATCACTACTAACTCTAATAAAATTTCATGATAAAAAAAATATAAACTTTTTTTTCCTTCACTATATTAAAAAATTTGGAAAAAATCAGGTAGAATGAATAAGATATTTCAATCATTTATTTTGGCAATTTTAAAATTGTCTAATCCTGATGGTTTAAGAAGGGGGAAAAAAAAAACTAAATTTTGTGGATATGTGAAAAAGTAGCAGGTCAAACAGTTCAGAATATTTCCAACATAATTGTTTAGTATATTTCACACATTTTCAGCAAATAAGAATTATAATAAAACTCATAGTAGGATAAAATATTATTAATAAACTCAAAAAACTCAGCAGTAGAATAGAAATAATAAAATTCAACCAAGTATCGAATCAAGAAAGTAAATATTGTATAATCTCTTACATTTATGCCAAGTCCTTTTCTTTTTTTTCTAATTACAACACATAGATGAACAGCAAAAGTTCACATTTATTTCAAATTTGAAAAATGCAAAATTGCCAACAACATGCCATAGGTTTCTACAGCAATTTAAATGCATAAAAGCATTCTTGCTTATTAGCAAAAACATTTTTCTCCCTCTCATCCACTTATTTTAAATACATACAAAATTAAATCTCCTTCTTAGTAAATTTACATAGTTGCTAGGGTAAACACTTTAAAATAGAAACACGGATATTTTTTATATGAACACTAAACGAAAGTATTTACTGGAGAAAATCTTAAAGAAAATAAATAAAATAAATACATGAATATTTTTATGCACAATTTACACAGCACTCAAATAATAAACAAAACTCTCAATTGAATGTTAATGAATACTATATAATGATAGAAAACATAACTTACTTGCTCTCTAAAAGCAAGAGCTTCATCTTCAAATCCAATAAATCTGAAAAATGTCTCAACATTTTCAATGGACCATTTTTTTGCAACAGGAATTAATGCAGGATATTGTTCCAGGCTGAAATACAAAGTATAATGAAAATTACAATTTTAATTGAAATCTTTACATTATTATGACTGTATCCTCTAATTACTAACATCACAGAGACACAACAAATATTTAACTAAATTACCATTGCTGCATCCATAACTTATGGTAAATTCAATTTTTGTAGAGGTATTTGAGTGTACTGGAACAGAATGTGCAAGACAATAAATTTTTTTGCATTTTAAAGAATTTGTAACTGAAACAAAAGGAATGATAAAACAAACTAAAAACAAATGAGGTGATTTTTCTTTTTTAATAATTTTATACAATTTTCTTTAGGACAACGTTTACATAGTAGAGTTCAGAAACTCTCAAAATTATGAAACAGACCGAGGCAATCAAAATTAGTTTAAAAACAAATAATATCTAAATATCTAGTTCAATTAAGTCAGAGTTTTTTTTTTTTTTGTACTAATATTTTCACAATCAATAAGGAAATGCAATGCGGCAAAAACTAATAGATTTGTGATAATTTTACTCCTTTTTTAATATCATTGATAACAGCACAAAATTATTTATTTCTCGAGTTTTTAATTTAAAAATGGATTGACACCAAATGCAATAAGGGAAACATTTCTTTTTTCAACGCCACATTTTAAAAAAATATTTTTTATAATAGATTGAAATTGTTTTTATATATTTATTTTCAGAGATCTCCCTAGAAATAAAGAAGGGCAAGGCGCTTTTCCAAAAATAAGGTCACCTTCTACTTTGTAAGGCATTAATCTAGCTAAATATATTGATTATATTTAGCTAAAGTAATTCCTTTTGAAACTGAATTAAAAATGCTCAAATAAATATGAGAAACAATAATATTCAATATTAACGTTGCCGTAACTATTGCAAATTAATTTCAGGCTATCTGAAGCTACAGGTTTCTTCTACAGCAATCTCTTTCTTAAATTAATAAAAAGAACATTTTTATATAAATAAAAAAAAGGACAGCATTTTTACAGAAAGGGCAAAGAGGGTTCATTTACCATCGTGAAAGGGCAAGCAGGGTGGGTCACCCTTTTAAAAACACTTAGAACATCCATATTTTATTAGGCTGTTAGATTGAAATTCTGACAGTGAAACAGTTCTTTTGTTTTCAACACTGCTAATTTTTTTTTCATTGAATTATTCATTTATTTATTAATTAATTATTTTTAAATAAAGAAGGAAATCATAAAAAAAACTTTATTCTAGGAAACAGAAGGAAACTGACCACATTGTGAGCATTTTGTAATAGATAAATATAACTTTGTACTGTTAAATTTTTTTAAAAGAAAAAAAAACACAAATAGATAATAATTGGTCCTAAGTAAGATTCTAGATTGATGGAACTTGATTGCTTTTAAAGCACTGCATTGTTTCACTTCTTTTTATCAAATGATTATAAGAGCGATTGTTAGGAATATAAGAGTGATTGTTACATTCAGTAAGGGTAAAACATGATTTGCAAAATATTTTTTTAAACATTAATAAAATTAAACAACACACTGTTGACTATAATGAATTATACTTTGCTCCAAACTTTAAACATATTGGATGCAGTAATTAGTTTTATTGTTAATGGTGACAATGAAAAATATCACTACTGTCCCTCTGGTGCTTTATTATTTGTTGAATTAATTATTTTAAAATAAAATTAAGTACTATAAAAATAGTCAGCAGTTGACACTTCAAAATGAAAGCATAAAATAGATTTATTCATTAAAATATAACAAAATTTTAAAAGACAAGCAAACAAAATTGTGTAAATATTTAAAATTTTGTTCAGAAAACCATAATTTAATATATTATATACCTTATTTAGTATATGAATTTTTACCAAATTTTAAATTTACACATTCAATAAATAATAGAGAAGCCTGGTGGCTGAGTGGTAGCGCTTCACGCTGTCGTGCCACAGGTCCCTGGTTCGATCCTCGAGCCCGGCAAGGTTGACTCAGTCTTTCATCCCTTCAGTGGGTCGATAAATGAGTACCAAGCATGCTTGGGAACTAAACACTGGGGGTTTCGCGTTCGGCTGATCACCTGACCGGAACATCTGCTCCAGCCCAAGGTCAAGAAAACTGAGATAGGTACAGTAGGCCTTGGCCCTCTATGGGCTGTCCCGCCACTGAGTTTAGTTTAGTTTTATAAATAATAGATATATGTCTAATTTGTTATTCCTCTACAAGTGAGGGGCATTAGTCAATGTAAGGGACTTAAAAGTAAAAATTAACTGAAATAGCAATTCAATTAAATTTATTTAACTACTTATTCAAATAGATAATTTACTTTTAAGATACATTATTGATGTCACATCGAATTTTTTTTCTTTTCTAACTCTTTCACAAATTGCATTAATTGTTTTAAAATATGCTAGGCTGAAAATGGCCCAGTTGGTGTAATTATTTTGCATGAAATTTTAATTTTAGACATTTCTGGAACACTTAACAATACATAAACCTGATAACTGACTTATGTTTAAAAACCTGACCTTTGTTTAAAAAAATAAATTACTCAACAGCTTCAATTTTACTTACTTATTTTATTTATTTTCATTTTAAAAATATTTATGTAAAAATAAAAAATGCTAATGTGTCTCAAATACTCACTTTTATTTCCACCATAAAATTTATTTTTATTTAAGCAGAGACAAAATATTGAAAAATAGTATTTTGTTTAAACATAATTAATAACCTCATAATGTGTTCTAAGTTACACAAAAAAAATTCTGAAATTACAAATGCATTTTAACTTGCCTTTTATGGAAACCTTCTTTGTAAGGCTGCAAAGCAGACATGGCCTCTAAATCTTCAACTGAAAATAAAAATAAACTAAATTAGCAGCAACACAATAGTAGTCATAGGAAGAAAGCGGGCTAATGAATTTAAAGACATACTTGATATAACTTTTGGCTTAATTTTTTGTTTTTCTTTGTCCACAGATGTATCACATGTACAGCACAACCAAGTACCTAAAATTTGTAAAGGAAAAGAGATAAAAATTGAAACTTAACATAGATATGAAATTTAAAACAAATCTAGACCAAGTTTTCTAGCAAAAATCAATGAATGATTAAAGATTTGTATAAAAAATTATTTTAGGGAAATTTGTTAGTTGATCCCATGCGGGGCAATACTTAGGTGATCAGCTTTTGGTGGACAAGTTTTTTTTTTCTTAAATAAATTTTTATACTATGCATTAATTCTAGTAACCGATCTATTTTTTAAATTTATCATGTCTAGATAAATTCAATTTTGATACTTTTTCAATAATAACTAAATATTTTATATAAAAATTCCATATATCTTAAGGGAGATAAGTCATTAGAACAAATTATGATTTGTTATATTTAAAATTAATGCTTTTTCGATATTATAACTTTGATTGAGTTGAAAGATTTAAAAATTTACAAAATATACCTATTTAGTAAATTTTTAAATGTTTTTACAGAGTATTGAAAATTATAAAAACAAAATATTTCTATTTTAATGGTAGGAAAATGAAAATAATAATTTTCCTATATTATTGATTTGAGGCTATTTAAAACTCCTTAAAAAGAAAGTGGGGATGTAATGAATATTTGGGCCACTATTTGGCCGAATGTTGTGCTAAATGTCTGGCCAAATATTCGACAAAGTTTTATTTTGGGGAATTTGAATAGATTTAATAAAGAATAATCTAAAATTGTATTTTTTACTGTTATTAGAAATAGTTTCTACACATATTTGTTAAGTTCCAAAACTTGTTAATTTAGGTTCTGAAAGACAAATGGAAAAGTGAAATTTTTTTGTTTTGTTTTTGATGTTTTTATGTTCTGATAATAGTGCAGCATTTTAACAGAGTGTTTCTTATAGACTTTATTCTTTTATTGTAAAATTTTTTCTGTTTGGTATAAGGCAGATAAAAATATGGCAACATGGAAAAGTCAAATTAAGATTTTTAATGTTTAAATTTTTTGTTTTGGTTTCTGTTTAGCTTTTTCTTTTTTAAAAAAATTTATTTTTATAAACGTTTCTATTATGGTGCAGCAATTAAGAGGGTCTCTAGTAGGCTTTATTCTTGACTTAAAAAAAAAAAAAAAAAAATAGAGTAATTGGAAAACTGAGATGCTTAGCTTTAAAAAATTAAGACAAATTTTTATTCTATCAGTTTTGCTTTTGTAAATAACATTTTTTATGGGTGTTTTCAAGACAGCACTGCATTTTTCAAAGCGTATATGACAGACTATTATGGATTATTTTTTTATTCCTTCAACTTAACCACTTTATTTTTTTTAAATAGCGGTTACTCAGTTTTTCATTTATCTTAAATATTTATATTATAGTTTTTTTTTTTTTACTTTGCCTCATAGGATAAATAAGTTTTGATTATTTTTCAATAATTACTTAACTTATTTATATATGAAACTATTTATACTTAACTATATACATATATAGATAAATCATTAATATTTATCAATGATTTTTATTTAAAAAAAGAAAGGTTGCTATTCGGCAGCTGAATATTCAGCATTCGGATAAATCACTATTCCTTGCATCCCTAAAAGAAAGTTCTCAAATAAAATTAACAATAAAAGAGAATAAGAATATTAAGTGCAACTTCTTTTTTCCGCTTAAAACTTATTTAATATAAATATTCTCAATTACATACTTTTGTATAATTGTTTATTTATTAACATATTTTATTACTTATTTATATGTCATTTCATATTAGTTTATATGAATCCAATATTTTAAATGTACTTTAATTTTTTTTACATGCATTATGACTATTATCTCAAGTTTTTGACGTCAAAATCTATTTATACAGGGGTGCCACTCTAAAACAATTTCAAGACTGAACTTATTTTTTGACCAAATAACACTGTCTAGCGTTGTTTAGCAAACTTTCAGAAATTTATAACTCACTGATATCAAAATTTACCTTTCCTTGATAATAGCCTACATCAATCATTTGATTATTTTTTCTAAAAATGTTTTTCTTTATTTTAAGGTTATATTAACAAACAAAATGAAAATAACAGCTAACCTTGTATATATTTTTTTTACAACTATTACTGTACAACCTGAAACCATTTATATCTCTATTTTTCACTTCACTGTCACTTATCTTTTGTTCCAGAGCTATAATTTCCTTCCTTTAAAAAAAAAAAATCTCGATTTAACTTTGGTCAGCATGACAATATGTTAGGGTAGGGGAAGCAAACTCTAGCAGATTTAGATTCAGTAATACAGTACAGAACCCGTTATCCAGAAATCAGAAAACTAAAAAACCGGAACGAAATTCGTAAATTTTCCCGCCATTTAAAAAAAAAAATTTTTTTTTTTCCTCATAAGATTTTAGGATTTTTCTTTCTTTTTGGAAAGATGTTTACCTCACTATCATTTTGGAAATAATCATTAGTGTATTACTTCGTTTTTTCTTCTTTTTAAGATTATTTCCAAATATTATTTTTTTAGTTGGGTTTAACAATAAAAAAACGGCTTTTTGTAGTGATTCAGAAAACCGGAAAAATCAGTTATCCGGAATAGCGATGGTCCCGATCGTTCCGGATAATCTGTTCCCAACTGTAGTACAAATTTAATTACAAAGTAGAGGAAGTTCAATCAATCCCATTTCTCAAGGCTTTAAGAATAAGATTTAGTGAAGCTGACAAAAATAAGATAAATATAAGTCCTGACATCATTACCATATCATATGTTCTCATTAAGATATATTTTTTATTTTGATCAAAAATGTTTTTAAATTTCTAATGAAAAAAGAAAGAAAATTTAATTAAATTTATAGAATTTATTAGTCCATTGATTTTTCGTAAGACTGATTTCAGTCCCCAGGACTGAAGAGTGGCACCCATGTTTATAATATATAATATATTGAAAAAAAATTAGAGCAAGCTCTATGTAGAATATATTAATTATTTTTTTTTCTAAATAAAAAATATTTAAAAAAAATTTAATTTGTATTTCATTTACATTTGATAAAACCACTTTAGCAGTCTTTTAAACTGTAAAATTTTGAAGAACATATATATTATTTTACAATTAATTGAAATACATTAATAACACAATAGACAAATACATTGCTAAAAAACTTGGTTTTATATAAATTTAAATTAATAAATAATGTTTAATTTATTAATGACAATCTAAATATGTTTACCTGTGGGTTTACTTGGCACTATGGGATCATGGCAATTTAAATGATAGCCTTTAAAACATATGAAGCAAGTCAATAAGTTTTCCTAAAATAAAAACAACCACTAACATATATTAATTAATCAAAACTTATGAATAAATTAAGCAACATATGGATAAATTAAGCAAACTATAAATCATAAAATATAAGGAAATGAAAAGAGCAATAAAACTAGTGAGTATAATTTTTGTTTCTATGCGATTATAATATATATAAAGTAGATATCCTTTATAGTGCGTATTAGATAGATGCTTACTGTGCACTAAAATCTTATTCATTGCAAGTAAATGTATAGCAATTCTTTAACTTTTATAAAAGAGTTATTCATTGTTTTATGTCTTATACTTAAGATCCTTTTTATTAAAACAAAATGATGAAACAAATTCTAAAAAGGCTTTAAAGGATATACAAAAATGAAACTTTATAATACAATACACGCAGAGCCGGATTATACCTTTCGTAGGCCCTAGGCACAGAGCCGGATTATACCTTTCGTGGGCCCTAGGCATAGCCGTTTTTGGGACCTCCCCTCCTCCCTTGTTTTCAAAATATATGCTAAAACTTTCTTGCATATTTTTTTTAACATTTTTATTAATATGGATTTTAATTTACAAATTTGTTTATCGAACTTTATCTGCAATACCAACATACTGCCGATATTGCAGTTGATATCGATAATACAATTATGATTAGTTCGATCGATAACTATGTTAAAGATAAACTTGTGAATACTTTTCCTAACGTTCACACTGCATTAAGAATATATTTGTCAATTCTTGGATAAAATGCAGAAGGAGAAAGATCTTTCTCCAGATTAAAATTGATAAAAAATTATTTGCGTTCAACAATGAATCAAGATCGTTTGGCATCGCTCGCACTTATGTCTATTGAATACGACATTTTGCGTAGTTTGGAATTCGACAGCATAATACAAGATTTTGTTGAATCCAAAAATCGCAAGAAAGTAATATCATAAGATTCAGCAAAATAATTTATTACCGAAAAATATTAAATTTTTATTTGTATCTTCATAATTTTGTGCAAAATACACTTGTTGTTTTTAAAGCGAAATTATTTTTGTCAACAAATTTTTTTCTCCCAAGTTTTTCGTAGGCCCTAGGCACGTGCCTATATGTTAATCCGGCCCTGAATACACGACTAAAATTTTTAAATTTGCATTATTAATACAAGTTGGCAACCACATTTCAAGATTTAAAAATAAGATAGCCTTTTCCCACCTCACATGCATAATTTGCAGAAACACCACTACAATGGAACATTATAACTGTCAGGCATAGAACTCAACTTTGAAATTCCTTCACCAATCAATCGGCCACAAATATCCCAGTAATACATATTCAGATTTAATGTATTCCTAACTGAGAAACAGTTGGTTTATTGATTTAATTTTATAACCATTTTTTTTTAGATAATTTTCATTCTATAAATGCTGTTTTAAGATTAAATTTTTCTTTATGAACCATTGTGCAAGATGGAAAATAATTGTTCTCTGAAATTTTGCTTTCTAACAAAATTTGGATTACTCAAGGGTGTAATTAATAAGGGTTATATTTTAAATTGCTCATTATTTTTTATTTTTTCGCTCATGTGGAATTGCTAGTTTGGCAATGCTAGTTTTAAAGAAATATCTATAATGAATTGCTTTATTTTAATTTATAAAAGAATAATGTGTTTATTTAAATGAACTAACAAATATGGCAAGTATTTTCCTCTTTAAACATATGTCATTAACAATATTACTCATTAATAAAATATAAAATTATTAAAGAATTAAAATGGATGCAATTTAAATACCTATGTACTGATTCAGTAATATATATACAGTCGGACTTCTATTTAACGAACTTCCATTTTACGAATTTCTCTATTTTGCGAATTTTTTCGTGGAACCAAGAACATTTTGGAAATTTCTTCGTTAAATAACTTCTAAATAGCGAAGTGAATTTTCTATTTAACGAATTTTTTTTTTAGATCTACTTTCCCCATTTCCCAAAATATTTGAGAAAATTATTAACTAGTTAACGCATTTTATGGGGGAAATGACCTTGAACTGATTTTCGCATCCCCTTAACTTTTAGAGAAAGCAGTAAAATTCCTTTCCCTTTTTGTTTGCACTTCATACAGGAAATGCAATCCCGCTAGAAAAGGGGGGAAAGGGTCAAATTCCTTGAATAGGAAATGAGCAGAGAAAATAAAAGGAATGGGTCATCAAAGTGTGTGGTCCCTGGTCCCTTATTGACATGTCCTATTATCTCCACCCCCACTGTTCACTTCCTTTCAAGAAAAACTTTCAACTTTCTCGTTGTTCACTCGGTAGAGCTCCTGTTTTAAGATCAGAGTGCTGCTTGTTGCTTTTCTTACGGCTGCAAAATGTCGAAGCGAAAGTGCCTGACTATTAAAGAAAAAAATTACAAGATAAAGGTGCATCAATTGCAATTTTAATTATTTCTAGTATCCATGAATTTAAAACCTATTCTACGTTGTGTAAGTATTTCAAAAGATGATTTTCTATTTAACGAATTTTCCATATAACGAACTTTTTTTCGGGATTTAGCGACTTCGTTAAATAGAGGTCCGACNATATATATTCATTTTATATTCCTCATAGATTGATTGTCTTACTTTATCCAATCGAAAAAATAAAATTATTTTTTTGAAATATCAAGAATTATTAATTAAAATAAAATATTTGCCCCACAATGTTATAAATACTCTAATAATATATCTCAATCAGTAACTTAACATATTTCAAAAATGTGTGATTTTTCTGAAAATATTTATTTTGTGTAAGTGAACTTATATATTGGTTTAATATTTTTAATATGCTTTACATTTTGACAAACAGTTTTTTTTATTTAATTAGCAATATTAAAACATTTTGCCATTTTGTTATTTGCATCTAAAATTTGTATTAAGATTTCATTTTAAATTTAATTACTTGTACTTAGAGTTATAGCAATTTTTTATAGTAAGAGACCAAGTAACAATTAGTATTGATAAAGAAGAAAAAAATTTGAACTATTAGGAAAAATACTTCTTCTTTAAACACTGAGAATAATGTCCTTAATGATTTAAATCACACATCATACCACCCTTTGAATCCCATAAAACAGCTGCAAAAAATTTAAAAGAGTTTGAAAAAAAAAATTAAAAATTATGGCAGATTAGAAAAGATGAAATGAGAAAGTCTTTACTTATAGATAAGGTATTATTTTCAATGAAAAGAATAAAAGATATAATTTTAGAGGGAAAAAAATATTTAAGTTATCTTCAAGAATATGAAAATAATTATCAATAAAAAAAGGAGTTTAAGAATAGAAACTCTATATTTCTACATTGATAGTTGCAGTCACAAAGATGCGCTCAATTACAACTTTATATATTTATCCAGGGTTTTACCTGAAATAGGCTACCACATACTTACTCTGTTTAGAACAACTCAACCCTTTTTTTTTAAAAAATAAACTAAATAATTTTAAAAATGCTACAAACTTTTTCCGTTTGCTAATCCAATTTATTAATTTTGTAAAAAATACATTTCTCTTACTAAACCAAAGTGAAATACTATTTTCATTAATTTTTTAATATTTATTCAATTATATTAAAAAATCGACATACCTTTTTCATCAACCCATTTTCTTAGTTTAAAAAAAAAAAACTTAAAGAAAACACATGCAATTCTATTATTTAAAAGAACAAGACAAAATTAGGGAACTTTCTACGTTTTAATTCAGAGAGAATTAATAATTTTAAAATTTACTTACAGCCTACTTTATTTTCCTTAAACTAACTAAATAATTTTAAAAATGCTACAAACTTTTTCTATTTGCTAACCTAATTTATTTAATTTTATAAAAAATAAATTTCTCTTATACCAAAGTGAAATATGATTTTCATGAAATTTTTTTAATACTTATTCAGTTACATTAAAAAATTGACATACCGTATATTCCGGCGCATAACGCGCACCCGTAATTTCTAATTACTTTTTTTAAATTTTAAAATATACTCTTCGTATAACGCGCACAAAAATTTGGATTGTACATGTGCAATATCTCGTCTTTCAAGATCGTAAATAAAAAGTATTTTTCCCAATCTTTTGCAAAAATAAAAGAACTGAATTTGACATGTATGTGAGGGTTGAATTGAAGGAGCAATAATGTGATTCTGGATGGACAAAAATGGTGTTAAATTGTGGGTAAAAAACATCTGGCAAATCCGTCCTGGTTGCGTCAGAAAACCACAAAGCCTTTTAGAGTGGGACATGTTTAGGTCCCACCTTACAGATAATACAAAAAAAATGTTAATTATAATACAAAATTTTTTTAATAATTGTAATTGATAGTGGAAGACAAATATAATGAACTATTTATGTAATAACGAAAATCAATGAAGTATATAGGTAAAGGTATGTTATTTCTTTAAAATAAAAGTATTTTTCTATATTTAAATTTTTTTAATCCATAATTTTTTATATTCGGCTTATACCGCGCACCCGCAGATTCCAATGTTATTTTTTGTATAAAAAGTGCGCGTTATACGTTGGAATATACGGTACCTTTTTCATTAACCCATTTTCTTAGCTTTTAAGTAAAAAAACTTGAAGAAAACACATGCAATTCCATTATTATTTAAAATAACAAGGCAATAAAATTAGAGAAACTTTCCACATTTTAACTCAGTAAGAAATTATTTTAAAATTTACTTACAGCCGTGCCTGTTTCATCACATACATGGCATGTTTTACAATCTGGACACTGCCAGTTTTGAGGCTGAGGGAATTCTTCATACAATAACTTAGTATACTCTAGGCAGCTAGGATGAGCTGGGTGTAGAAAATCTTACTTTTAGTTTGAACAACAGAAAAAATAGGTTTCTCTAGCAATTGCAAAACATTTTTCATATTACTTGACTTGATTACTCACATTACAAACAGGAAGAAAATTATTTGCATAAAGCTTGATAAATCAAACAATAATTTTCAATAGAAATGTCCAAGCCAGACACACTGAAACTAGCAACCTTACCTTCAAATCTTTATTAATTATATAGTTACATCTGGCAATTAGATGCATACCTGTGCAAAATTGCACGTAAAAGATAAAACACCAATTGCCATTAACAACTAGAATACTCAAGTAATTGATGGATCATAAAGGTTTACTGATCTAGTTCGGCTTTGTATGTTCCAAGTGTCAACAGTTAAATTTAGCTTTTAATACCATTAAATTTTGTAGTATATTTGAAACTTACCATATTTTGAGTATGTCAATAGATAAATTATATTAAGCCAAAACATCGAAAAAGGAGTAAAGACTTCATAGGAATTTTACTGGTTATACTAAATTTGGATTATTTAATAAAACATATTCAACTGTTTAACAGACAGCTCCAAAGTCATCTTAACGAAAGGAAAACTAGTTTCCGTAAAGTTATTCAATAAAAGAACTGTGCTAGGTGGATAAACTTTCAGATGAATTAATAGAATTATGGCATGAGTTAAAAGCTTCCAAAAAAAAACAAAAAGATACTAAAATCAGACATGTGATTTAATTAGAATAACATTAAATACAAAAATAGCATGCTTTAGCAAATTCGTCAGCACATTATACGATGTTCATGTTCTCATCTGAATAATAGTTCAATAATAGTTTCTCATCTCTAAATAATAGTTTTTTGTTTCTTAATGAAAACTTGTCCTCTTTGAAAATTATTTAGTTTATTTAAAATACTGAAAAATACATAAGTAAAATGCAATATTTTTAAGACATCTTTATGAATAACAGTTAGTAGATCTAACTGGTACACATTTCAATTATAAATACAGTTTTGATTTAGTACATTTATAAAATAATATAGCACTTGCTCTGACTTCTTTCAAGCAAGAATAGTTTTCATAATACAAGTACGTTTTTAACACTTACACCAGTGATGAAGGAAAAAGAAACATAAACATTGACACCAGAGAGTTAATAAATAGATAGGGGATACAGATAGGAGGACTGGGAGATGTAATGATTTTGGTATTGTGATGCATTGTCACTCTAACATTGTGATATTTTGATACATCAGAATGTTTCACGTTTGATATTGTGTGATTTTGAATTCTTAAAGATTTTTTGGGTGATGATTGATTAAGGCAACTATATTCTCATAATGAACTCAGACCTCAGTTACCTAACAAATTATGTATAAAAAAATGCTATAAATTTGTCTAAGAATATATATAAATATTTTTTTTAAAAATCAATAAATTACATCAGTAACAAAATACATCAGTGACATAACACATTGAAAAAAAAAAGAAGCTGAACAACCTGCACAGTAGGACGATTTTGATAACTGAGAGATTCAAAAATGCTTCGATTCTTAATTATTCCAGTACTATCAGGATTCGTTGTGACAGTGTATATCTCTACTTGATGAGTCACAATGAAAGAAACACAGGGAAAAGAAACAACGATCGCCACGGTAATTACAATTCACTTATGCTCAGAAGAAAATGCTCTTTGTGCAAGCTTGCGGTCATAGACGCCCAACCGCGAGAATTACTCTTTAGGCGCTTGAAACCATTGAAACACTGTTTTAAAAACTGCTCTTTGTGCCACATGCAGATATCAATGTCTATAATGGATCGAGACACATATAACACATAACGGGTAAATCATAATTTCCAATGCTTCGTAAAAAAAGAATGCCAATTCTAACATCGTATCGATGATCATTGCATAAAATTGATATTTTTCGATGCATTGCCCAGTCCCAACACATAAGTAAGTTCCTAAAATAAATATTTGTTAAAACAGATTTGTTGTTAGCTTCTTAGTAATTAAGAAACTACTGATACTTAATGCAAACTTAAAGCATAAAAATAATTTAGTCATGAAACTAAAAATCAGAAAACCAAGCTTAAAAATTACTGAAGTGTACTGATAATTTAGTAAGCAGACTAAGGATAAGTCAGGAAGCATAGTTACGAATAAGTCAACCTAAAACAAACCTTTTGTTCCACAATCTCGACATACTAACAAATCTTCAGGCTCCCCTTTCTTATTTGGATAAGCTGTCATTGAGCAAAATTCACACCGACTAGGTTGAGATTCTTCACTAGAATTACTTGAGTTCTCATGACAGCCAGCGTCAGAATCAGATTTTAAACGCTGAAATCAATAAATAAATGCATTACATTATAATTAAAAAATATCATTGGTTTAAAATTTATAAGAATTAATCAAATATAATTTCAAATGTTGCATGAAGATTTTATTTTAAGAAAACAAAATATAAAAAGCTAAAAACATGCTTAAAAATTACAGATGTAACAACAAATAGTGATTTTGTCTGAATATTCGGCTGACAAATAGCAACATTTATTATTTTTTTGTAAAATTTTTTTTTAAGTATTTTTAATACATAAATAAGTTTAGTATTTTAGTCATGGGAAAAAAGGAATAGGATAAAAGTAAAAAACTATAATAGTTATCCTTCAGAAATATTTAAGATAAATAAAAAACTAACAGCTATAAAAAATGAAATTGTCAAGTTGAAAAAATGAAAGAGATAAAAAAAATCCCCTTAATTCATAAAACTTTACTGCTAAAAATAATATTTTACCCCTCAAAAAAAGTATCCATAAATTGCTACAAGAAACATAGTCAATCAGAAACACTTTTAAAAATTCTGTGCTATCAGAAAAACGTTCATAAATACAAAAAATTATATATAAGAGCAAAACAAAAAATTAAAATCGATCTTAATTTTTGAAAGAAAATTTTTTAAGCCGAACATCTCAGTTTTCCACTATCTGTATTTTTAAGAGTAAGTGAAGAAAAAAAAAATTAAGTATACTAGAAACCCTCTTAATTTCTGCGTCATTATAACATAAGTTTTCTTTGAAAAATAAAAAGTTAGAAGTCGAAACAAAAAATGCTCTTAATTTTTAAATTCAAAATTTAACATTAAATATCTTAAGTTAACTTTAAAGTGAGAATAAAAGAATAGCGTTCAATAGAAACATTCTTCAAAAAATGCTTTATCGTAATAAAAGCGCAAATAAAAAGAAAAGTAAAAATAGCAAAAGAGAAACAGAAAAAAAATTTTTTTTAGCTCCTAAACATAGAAAATCACAGTTTTCTATATTATCGGTTCTTACCGTACAGGAAAAAAAAAAGTGACAATAAAGGAAAAAAATCTATAAGAAACACCGATAAAATCCCAAGCTATAATTAAAACAGCAAAACAAAATAAAATAATATTTTCAGTCTTTATAACAAAAAATTTTGAAATTGTTGACTGAATTGATTTTAATAATTCCATATTAAACTATTCAAATTCCAAAATAAGAAAGAAAAAACTTGGTTGGAAAATACTTTGCTTGCTAATATACAGTAGTTTTACTGTGATGTACACTACATCACAAGATCTGCTTTCTATAAAAATAGTATCTCAAAATAAAATAATTAAAATTATTATCAGAGCTCATTCTAGGCAGAAAAAAGGGCAGGGTGCAAAAGCTTAAAAAAAGGGGCATTATTATTCAAAAAAGGCAATAATTTCTTTCTATGGGCTTTACACATTCTATTAAAAAACATTGTAAATTTTTTTTTCTACTTTACTAAAAGTACCAAAGCAATCATATTAATTACTAATTTTTATTAATAAATTAACATATATATATTGAGTTAATGAGCTAATTAGCTTAGTAATTTGTTTAAAATGCATGCATATATTAATAAAATAATAAATGTATGTTTTTAAGTGTCTGTAGTTATGATTTAAAAATTAAAATGATTAATTATAATTATGATTTAATGATAGTGAAGTAACTGCAAACTTTCAAAGACAAGTACAACAAGGGGATGTGATGGCTATTTTTCCTTTCCCATATAAATCTATGTATTGACAGCAATGACAAACTAAATAAAAAGAGTTGAAAATAAAGAAGGGCAAATACTTAGAGTTGAGGAAAGAAAGGGCAAAAAGGGTATGGAATCTATTACATCAGGGCACTAATTTACTTTACGGGCAACAGGTTGGATTCTTTTGACTAAAAGGGCAGCAGGGTGCTGCGCCCTGTTTACCCTGTCTAGAATGAGCTCTGTTATTATTATTATGACTACATAAAAATTTCGAACCATATTAAAACCAATTACATTAGTTTTAACAAGTTATCAAATTTATTTAACCTGTGGTGTAACTACCACTATAAATATTAAATACCAATTCACTAGAATATAAGACATGTTAACTTGATTCTATCCTGCGGTACCTTTTGATATATGAAAGTTGATATAGTCAATGATTAAGTTCTCAAATAAATAGTCAGTGCTCAAATAAATTAATAAATAATAACAATAATAAAAATGAAGCAAACAAAAAATAATGAGCAAAATGATATAAATAAACAAAAATGATATAAATATAAAAACAGCATAAATCAACTAGTGGTGTTCCTGGGGTCCGTCTAGGTTTTTCTGAGAGGTACCTATTTTGTGAAAATTTAGACATAATTTGCGAAAATTAAAAATTATATTAAAAAATCAACACAAAAATGTTAAAAATATGGATTTATCGTTTCTTACGGGATACAAAAATAAAATTTTAAGAGAAAGTATTTTGTGAAACTGCCGTTTCTCCTTAAGTTGAATTTGTGAAGGTACCGCAAAACGGTAGTAAATTTGACCTGGACCCTGTATTCGTTCATCGAATTCTATCACAGATAAAATTCTGGAAGGGAAGTTATGTGGCATAACTACCACCACAAAATATTAAATATCATTTCACTAGTATATAAGATATGTTAACTCGATTCTATTAATCTTGAGGTACCTTTTGATAGATGAAAGTTGAAATGGTTGAGTAAAACATGACCCTCAAATCATTGTATTTTAGCAATTGACATATTTATTTATCTCTATGACAAACATTTTAAAATAAAAGTATTTTAGTTAGAATGACATTAAATTTAATAGTTTATAAAATGATATGAACCTTATTAGGTGATCCATCATATTTTTTAAACTCTGAAGAATTTCGGCCCATGCTTGTAAAATCTGGGAGAACTTTTACTGGTACATATTCTCCACTCGGTAACTGATGAAGATTTCGTTTCTCAACTTCTTTTTCCAAAATAGCTCGCAAGGTAGCGAGATTCAAATTCGATTGCGAGTCTCTTTTCAACAGATATTGCTCGATGTCTTGAATGGATGCTTTCTTTGGTGGCTGATCTTTAGATTGCAAGGTTAACGCCCGAACAGCTTCTAACACAACAGATGAAATATCAGAAGAATTATAGAAACTTCCATAAAACTGCGTTTTAGTTTTGGCCCATTTAGCAGCGTTACGATAGCTAGTATTTCCCTTGTAGTCGACTTTCACAACAGTGCCTTCATTCACTAATCTTGTCAATTCTTCGTTAACAGCTGGACTTTTTAATCCATGTTTTCGCTCCAGCATATGACAAATTCTATCTAAATCTGGTCTAGCTTTTCGTTTTCTAAGTTGATCTATAGTATCTAATATTAAACCTCCACACTTAGTATCGCTCATTCCGGTTCGGAGTGAGATTCAGTAGGACGATTTTGCAATCATAAAAGATGCAAAATGAGCAAATTTTTCAAAGGAGAAAATAATACTTCATTATTAGAAGTTTTCTTACTCCACTAACTCACAAAAAGAGACATAAATATTGCAGGAATAATATTTGACAGTAAATTGTTTACCACATGACACCGCCAATCTGATTACTTTTACTCTTTGTTCCTTCTATTTATCAGTTGAACGTTGTCATATACTTGTTTCTGTCCAGTGAAGCATTGCTTAATATTGTAATAGGTTGTTTCCTGACGTAATCAGGCGGTCGTAAACGGGGTAATTGAATCACGCTGATTCCAGTCACTGCCTGTGACTAACCGAGTGATTCTGAGGTGAAAGGCCTTTATAACGCCATAACTATTAATCCTAACAACTAAAATTTCATCAGATTCAATTCAGTATAAAAAAGTTCAGCAGTAAATGTATCTTATATCATATGTTAAGACAGCCCATAGATAATAACAAGTTTAAATAACTCCTGTCAAAAGTAATACTTTTTATTCATTAAAACACCATTTATCATTCTTTCTATTGACTAGTGAATAGTTTCATTTGATTCAACGTAAAGAATGAATGAATAATAATCGGAAAAATATTTGTCCAATCATAAAATTAGATGTATGTAAACAAAAGAAAAAATAACAAATGTTTGACTCCACTTATTAACCCCTTTTCAGCCAATGGTGCGTAATTACGCACCTTTGAATTACGTACATATTTAATGAACGCTGGATAACGCTTGTTGAATTACGTGCGCTAAAAAGGTGCGCTTAAGCGCACCATTTCAATAAATATGTGCGTAATACTATTAAAAAGATAATTTTCGAAAATTGTTTGGTTTTTCCACTGACAACAGAAAGGCTCCTGTGTGTTGGTAAGCAATGTGTCCCCTGAAGAAGTGCTGTCTTGCCAACACACATATCCTTTATTTTATTGCTTTTTATTACTTTTTCCTGCTTTAGTTGTTTGTTTGAATATCTAAATTATAATGTTATCGAAATTAAAAATTAAGCAAATTTGGTTTTGTTTTTTTCTGTATTTGTAAATTAGATTCATTTTCTGATTAGACTGCATACACAATTCATTTTTAAACATGGCTTTTCGGATTTTCCGGAAGCTATTATCGTAACACTCTAACTAAAGTTAGGTTTATTCTAGGTTAGGTTAACTCTAGGTTTTGATATAGTTTTCTATTTTCGTTGTTGAAAAATATTAATTTAAGTAAAAACAGAATACACTTGTAAATTTTTAAATATGCACTGTTTTTTCTTTTGTTTTTGACAATATTAAAACAGGAATTAAGGATGGTTGTTAAAGTACACAGTTTATAAATATTGATTTAGATTTTCTTTCAAATAAAATTTTTTTTTAAAATTATGGTGTACAATAGCTTTATGCTGAAGTGTTTTGGTATGCGGCATCTTATAAACAATAATAATAAATAAATGCAACATGTAAATTACTACATAAATATATTCAGATTATTGGTACATGCTTAAAAACATAGTTGATCGTACATGTGTTTTTTTTGTATTCCCTGATCACAGAGAGAGTAGAAGTGGAAGTGAAAGTTTATATCTCATACGAAGATTGCAGTTAAAGTTTTTGTTGCAGGCCTTGATCTAGATGGCGCTGCAGTACCCCCTTCCAAGCAGCAGCGTTAGGCAAATCTCACTGGAAGTTTGATTCGTCAGCCAGATCTGGATGACCTGCTGGCCACGATTGGTTGTTCTACTGGTGGAGACCTGCTGTTCGGGACTAGCTGGTTTGCTGGTGGAGGTGTGTTGCTGATTGCTGGTGGCAACGGCTCTGGTTCCGTTGATCTCTGAGGTCCTGTCACGTCCTCTGCAGATAAGATAAATGCTGGTTTTAGTCTATCCACTGTTACTACCAGTTCCTTGCCATTTTTCAAGATTTTGAAAAATTTCTCAGTTCTGGATAAGACTGGATAAGGTCCATCATAAGGTGGTCTTAACGGAGCTCTAACAGCATCATATCTCAAGAAAACTTGCGAACAGGTATTCAGCTTCTGTGGAATGAATAATTGTCTCCTACCATGATTCGATGTTGGAGATGGATTTATACTAGCAAAGTACTCTTTGAGCGCTTTGATAAATTCTGGTGTGTTGACATCATTTGGTGATTTAGTAAAAATTTCACCAGGTAGCCTAAGACATTGGCCATACACCAGTTCACTAGAGGTAGCATGTAACTCTGGTTTATATGTTGCTCTTAAGCCAAGGAGTATAGTAGGCAATCTATCCGTCCAACGATCTGTCAAATGGGCTTTTATGGCTGATTTTAATGTGCGATGAAAATTTTCAATTAACCCATTAGATTGGGGGTGAAAGGCACATGTATGTATATGTTTACATCCCAAAAAAATTGCAAGTGCTCGAAAAAGCCTAGACTCAAATTGTCGGCCCTGATCAGTAGTAATGATTCCTGGAACTCCGAAACGGGAAATCCATACCTTATAAATAGCTGATGCGACCGTTTCAGCTTCGATGTTTTTTAATGGCTCAAGTTCTACCCACCGAGTGAACCTATCTATTATTGTTAGGCAATATGTATAACTTTCTGATGGGGGTAGCGGTCCGATTAAATCTAAATGTATGTGGTAAAAACGCTTATTTTCTACAGGGATCCGTTTAACCTCACTTTTTGTATGTTTGGAAATCTTAGACCTCTGGCACGGTATACACGCTTGTGACCATTTAGAACAGTCAGAATTTATATTAGACCAAACAAAACGATCGGTAACTAATTTTACTGTACTTTTAGTTCCCGGGTGGGCTAAATTATGTAATGCATTAAAAACTATTTGACGTTGAGATTTAGGAATATATGGGCGGATTTTTCCTGTAGCGATATCGCAATATAATTCCACCTCACTATCTGGCAACACTAATTTGTTAAGTTTTAATGAAGAATTCTGGTCTGTTAATATTGTTTGAAGTTCGGGATCGGAATTCTGCTCTTGTGCTATTTTTTTAAAATCGATTGGCGATGGGCATGATATTGCTTCAATACGTGACAGCATATCGGCTGGAATATTTTCTATCCCTTTAATATGGCGTATATCTGTGGTAAATTGGCCAATGTAATCTAATTGGCGCAGCTGCCTCGGAGTGCATTTTTCGTTTTTCTGCATAAAAGCAAATTCGAGTGGCTTATGATCCGTGTATAACGTAAAGGTTCGAGCTTCGACCATATAACGAAAATGCTTTATTGCACTATATGCTGCCAAAAGTTCGCGATCATAGGCTGAATATTTCTTTTCGGTTTCCGTTAGTTTTCTAGAGAAAAAACTTAAAGGCTGTAAACCAGTTTTAGTGACTTGATGCAAGACTGCGCCTATCGCGAAGTCTGACGCATCAACATGTAATGCTAATTGTGCGTTAGGATCAGGGTGAAAGAGTAAAGTTGCGTTAGCGATCTGTTGCTTTGAATCCTCGAAAGCTTTTATGGAATCTTCTGTCCACTGAATAACTGATTTATCAGACTTTTTACTGCCTTTTAGATAATTGCATAATAAGGCCTGTGTGCTAGCTGCTTGAGGTATATTTCGACGATAGTAATTTAAAAGACCTAAATATCGTCTTAATTCTTTTACCGTGCTCGGTAGCTTAAAATTTAAAATAGGTTTGATTCTTTCGGGAAGCGGTTTAATACCCTCACTGTTAATCAAATATCCTAAGAATGATAGTTCTTTCGATCCAAGCACACACTTAGCAATATTTACTCGTATGCCATATTCCGAAAGCCTTTTACAGACCATTTCCAAATGCTCACAATGTTCTTTTTTTGAAGTACTAAAAATTAATATGTCGTCCAAATAAGCAAAAGCAAAATCAAAACCATATAAGACTTCGTTCATAAACCTTTGGAAAGTTTGTGCCGCGCAAGAAAGTCCAAAAGGCATATATAAAAATTCGAAGAGTCCAAAGGGTGTTGTAATTGCGGTTTTTGGGACGTCATCCGGGTGAACCGGAATTTGGTTATACGCACGAGTTAAGTCAATTTTAGAAAAAATTTGTTTACTATGTAAATTCTGAGAGAAGTCTTGTATATGCGGTAATGGATATCTGTCTTTTTGAGTTAGGCGATTTAATGCCCTATAGTCACCCGTTGGTCGAAAATCTCCATTTGGTTTTGGCACCATGTGCAAAGGATTCGACCAATTAGATTTACTGGGGCGACAAATACCCTGCTCCATCATTATTTGAAATTCCTTCTTTGCGATTACTAATTGTTTAGGATTAAGACGTCGTGGTCGTGCGAAAACAGGTTGGCCTCTCGTTATAATTTTATGAACAGTGTTATGTTTTGGTTTATTTGAACCTGGATGTGGTTGTAAAATTTCTTTGTACTTATTTAAAATTTCATGAAATGCCATGTCTTTAGAAATCAATGTCACGCTTTTTCCAGAATAACGAATAATAGATCCTTGATTTTTTAAGTTAGTTATAGAATCTCTTAAGCAAGAATTTTTTAAATCTATCAATAAACCAAAATGTTTTAGAAAATCTGCGCCGATTATAGGTTTGCTAACATTAGCTATTATAAACGTCCATTTGAAATCGCGGCGTAAATTTAAATCAAGAGAAATTACTTTGGTGCCATATGTTTTGATAGGCGAATTATTAGCTGAATATAAAACCATAGAGGGTGAGGAATTAAATGTTAGGTTTGACGAATACGGCAGTACGCAAACATCGCTTCCGCTGTCTATTAAATAATGACGTCGAGTTTTCGGATCATGTATAAAAAGACGACTAGATCCCTGATTCCGGAAATCACATTGCGCCACATGTGATTTCTTCATTAGTTTTCCGAAAATTTACATGGTTGATTACATTTCTTTGCTTTATTTCCAAATTTTTGATGATACCAACATAGCTCAGTTTGCTCACGGCGCGGAGTTTGCGAACGATACCTACCTTGCGAAAAATGGCGCGAGCGATAGCGCGGTTGACGTTCGTTAGCTGCCGTAAGTCGGCTAACTTGTTCAGTAAGTGCGGCTATTTGTCCTTTCAATTCTGCAATTTCGGATACGTCATTTTTGACTGCGTGTACCTCTTTAGATGTATTGGGGGAAATATCTAAAATCTTGTCAGCCATTAAACTCAGCTTATCTAGGTTACCCTCAGAAATGCTAATGATTGCTTGAGCTGATTCAGGGAGACGCTGAATCCATAGTGTTTTTAAAAATTCGTCCGATAATTTTTTGTCTGCGAGATTGCGCATTTTACGCAGTAAGTGTGATGGTTTGTCATCTCCCAATACGAGCTCTGAAAGTAAAGCTTTGATCCTTTTCTGCTCCGAATCAGAAAATTCCGAAATTAGGCGAGTTTTGAGGGCGCTATACTTATCCTCTGCTGGTGGATTTAATACAATATCACTAACATATGATAGTGTTTCCGAATTTAAGGTTGAAATGATGTGAAAATATTTTGTGCGGTCACAAACTATTCGTGAAACGGAAAATTGTGCTTCAACGTTTACGAACCATAATTCTGGAGCTTTTTCCCAAAAGGCGGGTAACTTAATTCCTACCGCATGCACTTCCGGTATTTCTACCGGCAAAGGACTATTTTCCGTAGACATTACGTTAAATAAAAACGAATGGAATATTAAAACTATCTAATTAAATAATGATATTGAAAAATTTCAAGCCCGTATGACAGAAAATCAGACAGAAAGATTAACTCCACTTACTTGCGTTTGGAAGATATGTTGAGTATCCAAATATCCATGGGTCACCACTGAAGTGTTTTGGTATGCGGCATCTTATAAACAATAATAATAAGTAAATGCAACATGTAAATTACTACATAAATATATTCAGATTATTGGTACATGCTTAAAAACATAGTTGATCGTACATGTGTTTTTTTTTTGTATTCCCTGATCACAGAGAGAGTAGAAGTGGAAGTGAAAGTTTATATCTCCTACGAAGATTGCAGTTAAAGTTTTTGTTGCAGGCCTTGATCTAGATGGCGCTGCAATGCTAACAAGTTCATGCGATGATACTTTAGTCCAGCAACAGTTCTGACAAAAAGAAGAAGAAAAAAAGAAAAGTTTTTACATTTAAAGCTGTATTGACCACGCCAAGAATTTTGTTTGGTCACGTAGTTTTCTGGTACAAATTTGTTTACCTGTATTTGTAAATTAAAATTCCTTGAGACTCTGTCTCCTTCTCGTTTAGCAGTCTAACCCCATCATTGTCTTGTAGTCATCATACATTGTATCTTGATATGAGACAAATATTTTTACGAAAAACAAAATTTATTCCTTTTTATGCATTTTATTCAATTTTTACCCGTAACGCATTAGCATTCGTATCCTTGTTTTATGTAATTTTGAATTTAATTTTATATCAAACTCGCTTACCAAAAAATATCTCTTCAGACCTGTAGCTGCATTTTTCTGGGCTATGAAGCACCCAACATAAAATATTTTACTACATGTTCAACGATTATAAATTTTTAATCTAATTAACGGATATTATTTTTTTATTTTATCGTAATCCCTGTATATTTTTCTTTACCAGCGGTTACCATTTTTTTTTTTTTGGCAATGGAACCCTAAGTGATTTATCTTCTATCGGCAGATTCTAACTTCATAGATAAAGTAAGTAAAAAGAGTCGCCAGCGTTTTTACCAATCAAAACCTTTATATTAAGAACGTAACCCTTTGGCACAGACACCGGTGACTCTTTAGTATATTTTTTTCTGGCGCACCTATTGCAAGCAAATATACATTTTCCTATTTTCTAATTATAAAAAATAGTTTTATAGTTACAGAAAAAATCTGTCAGATTGTCGGAATTATATCTGTAAAAAAATTAAAGAAAAAAGTTTGAAAATAACTTTTCTTTTTATTCATATTCAAACATTTATCAATAATTGATCTTATAAGAAATTTCAATTATGAGCAAGTGTTCCTCTGAGATCTAAAAAACTGCAAAAAAGTGCAAATTTGATAAATTATTGTTTAGAAGTGAGCCGTGTTCAGAAGATTTTACCTTTAACGCAGAAAAAACATCGGTGTTTCATGCTGTATTTCATAACAATAAATTATATTATTAAAAAACTAAATATAATATTTTTCACTTAATTTGAACTAAATTAATACAAAAAAATGAGAAAAAAAGCATGAAAAATGTGTTTAATAAAAATTCTGTATCAAAGAGAGGACGGGATTTTTTCATCGTTTTATCATAAATAATCTTAAGTCAGTTTTTATGCCCTACAGTTAGATTTGAAGTCTAGGAGCTGCATCTAGTCTAGTTATAAATTTGTTTTTGGTGCAATGTAAGCTTGTAGCTGAAAAAAAAATTAATAAAACAAGCAGAAATATGTTTTTCTTTGAAATAGAAACTAAAAAGAGCTGCTGCAAACGTTGAAAATGGCTATTACTGAAGGATATTTGTTTATTAACAAATTTGGCAATTTTCTTTTCTTTTGAAAAGCGCGATGGGAAATAACGATTAAAATTTTATAAATACGTGATATTTTCATAACTTATTTAGTATATTGTTATTAAAAAAATTGTCTTTGTTAAAAAAATTTATCCATTTCTTATTCGATGGCCTTTTACTTTTTATAATTTCATAAAGGCAACCTAAATATGAAATAAATAATGAAATATTGAATGGATCTATTAATAATTAAAAGTTACGGGTTAAAACAAATGTCCAAACACTCGAAACCCATTCAACTCTTTCACAGAACCCTAGGTTTCCGCGGAACACCATTTGGCTACCGTTGTTCTGTACACTTTCATAATTTTATGCTTCCGAGTGTTTGAATTCCCACAGTGAGCACCCAAAACAATGGCAGCGCTTGCGAGTTATTAATATAGATTGACAATTTCAAAAACATTGTTAAATGGTTGTTGAAATATATTTGGATATAATTTAACAATGTCCCACTGTAGCCTAGGTTTCCGCGGAACACCCTTAAGCTACTGATGTTCTATACACTTTCATAATGTTCTGTTTCTGAGAGTTAGAATTCCCGCATTGAACACCCAGAGCAATGACGGCACTTGCGAGTTATTAAAATAGATTGACAATTTCAAAAACATTGCTAAATAGTTGATGACAAATAATTAAGCATAATTTAGCAATGTTCCACGGAATCCAAGGTTTTCGCGGAACACCCTTTGGCTATCGCTGTTCTATACACTTTCATAATTTTATGTTTATGAGAGTTAGAATTCACGCATTGAACACTCAAAAGAATCGCAGCGCTAGCGAGTTATTAATATAGATTGACAATTTCAAAAAGATTGTTAAATGGTTAATGAAAAATATTTAAGCATGATTTAGTACGGAACCCTAGGTTTCGGTGGAAAACCCTTTGGTTACAGTGGTTCTATACACTTTCATAATTTTATTTTTCTGAAAGTTAGAATTCCTGCAGTGAACACTTAAAAGAATGTAGCGCTTGCGAGTTATTAACATAAATTGTCAATTTCAGAAAAATTGTTAAATGGTTGATAAAAAATATTTAAACATTATTTAGCAGTGCGTATAAAACAAAAATCAATGAATCGGATTTATGCGAAAGTACCTACAATATGTATATTTTGTTATAAAAAAATAATTGCTTACGTGATATGATACCATTAAAGGATTGTATTTATTCTACTAAAAACTCTCTTCTAAAAACAAACATACTAATCAACTTTCTAGTTATTAATTTATTCATTTTGCAGAGCAAGTAATAATAACTAGATGGGAACAAAACAGATGTTGTATGTCATTCATAATTTTGACGGGTTTATCAATTGGCTGGAAATAATGAATCGGTTATATTACAAAATATCCATTTTTGGAATATACAAATATACTTAAATGACAATGTCATGTAATTCATCACCTGCTGACTTAGAAATTTATTTGTTACCTCTAGTGTCAACGAATTCATTATTGATCGATAGCGTTTTATGACATAGTAAACTCCAATTTTTGACTTGTTCGTCTTTTTTCAATCATTCTACCTCACAATTATTGATAAAGAGAAGACGTGTTTCTGTAAGAAGTATTAAAAGAAGTAGTATTTAAAATTCTTACTAGTTTCTCATTGGTTGGCAAGTTGGTCACGGAATTCAAACGATCGATGTTTGTTATTAAATTGGATGCAACTCGAATTGATAGTTTTGCAAAGTCTTGCATACATCATGAAAGCCGCAATGTCTTTTGTATAGTAAATGAGTCATGTTGAAAAATTTTAGTTCATGATATGAGAATACGCATTGAAAATTGAAGGAAACTTTGCGATCAAATTTTACGGAGCAAGTATTTTTATTTGATCTACAATAGTAAGTAATGTTCAAGAATTTATTAATATTCAAAATTGAAGAGATCAGTTAACACATAAGTTAAGAGTTTGCTTGTTAAAGTGAAAGAAATGAGATCTAAAACGGATGTTGTATAGCCCACAAAAAGTTCCTATTTCTCGATAAATTAATTAGTAATTTGAGTTTACGACTATCAATGCTTGACTTCTTAGCCCTGTAATTTAATCTTCATCTTAGAAGACAAGGGAACTGTTGATCGTGGAGGGCATTTTGATGGAAATAACCAGCATTTGAATGACATGGAGAGGAAAACCTCCCATGATTTGTCCAACGCCAAGGAGATTCTAGCCCATGATATATCTACCATTGGGGATTTTTTATGTCAGTGCTGTTTCTGGTGCAATACGGGAGCAAGAATTCATACTCTCTCAAAAATAAAACTATCACTTTTGATGATTCAACAATCCTTCATCTGTATTTCGTTAATTTTGAGAATCATTTCGTCACGAAATCACGTGATTTATAATGAAATGCGAACTCTCAAATATATGACAAGAATCAACTCGGAACCTCATCGAAATGCATTGTGGGACATTGTTAACTATAATGACGAAACAAGAATAAAGGTTAGACGATCGAAACAATAATGGCGAAATATTTCTTCAGTTCTGACGAAATACTTTTACTCGAAGAAGTGACTATAGTTATTTCGCCACTTTGACGAAATGTTTGTTCGGAGCGTATACCAGGAAACGGTTTCGTGAAAAACGAAGAAAGTTACGTGAAATTTGAGTATCCATTCTTCACATTCGAGTATCCATTATACACCAACCATCGCTATGATTTGAACCCGAGTCACCCCATTGGGAAGCGTGGTTCTATTACCTAAGCCGCAGCAGCTCGATAACCGTGGTTTGAAAAATTTCCTTAAACTCGCATTTCGAGCTACGTTATTTTCGTAGTTACGAAGTTAAAATTATTTATTTTCCTAAACACATGTTTCAAGTTGAGCTCGTTTCCTTGAGCTGTATCTAAAATTAAAAGCTCATCAACGATAGGTTGGATTTAAGTGTGTTACGATCTTTATTTTATTCAAAACAATATTTTAATATTATTATTGTTCCATAACTATTTTATAGACTTGAAACTTCCATTAGACTGTGTTAAATTGGATAAACCATGAGTTTTTGATTAAAAAAAAGGAAAACAATTTGAATGCTGATTTTACTCTTACACTTTTATTTTCCAAATTATTAAAAAAATATCTAAACTGAGCGAATTTTTTTGAAGTATTAAGTAATGTTTATTTTATACTTTTAAAATATTTTTTTAATGCTCCATATTATTTTTTAATTCTTTAAAAATTTCTTAATTTGGGACTTAGATTACATTATTAAATTTTAATTAAAGTTAAACATTCAATGCTTTGTTTTATAACTTGTTGAAAATAATTATGAATTAATAAAGAAATATGAAAGACTTACTTGCGAAATTGATTGAGATAGAAAGCTGAGAATCGCAGAATGAGATTGAGGAATAAGAAAATGTTGTCCTCTACGATATATTAACAACTAAATAATTCAATAGGTGGTGCTCAACTTCAAATAATAGTGTGTTGTCAACTAGTAATGATAAATGGAAAGTCAATTACAAGGCAGACACTTTCTGATAAGATATTCTGTTCCATTTCAACGCTATCTGGAATTAATATTAGACTTAAAACTCCCGTCTGTACACAAAGGTTAACTACTGCTGTTTTTGTAACAAAAGGAAAAAAAAATGGAAAAGTTATACGTTTTATAAAAGGCATGATCGTGTAAAATAGTAAAGTAGATGGGTATGAAATGTATAAAATAGGTGGGCATGAAATTGTGTAAAATAGTTGAGCAGTCTCCTTGATTTCCCTTCATTGGAATAATTAAGGATAGGTTGAAAAAAATTAAAAATTAAGGCTGAAAAAAATTTGTCAAATGCAAGTAAAATTTTTGTAGCAAATTTTAATCCAATCAAGTTAAACTTGGAATTTTTTTAAAAAATAATTTTATATTTAAGAGATGAGTGGAAAATCACCTTAAATGATATACTGAAAATTTAGGTTTGTAATTAAAAATATGCTATTGTCACTTTTAAGCATAGAAGAAGTAATAATCTTATAGCCCCTTTTTTAAATAGGTTTTTTTTTTATAGGGGATGATTTGTCGACAAAAACTGGTTATTTCCATACAGTAAAAACTGTAGTGAACTATCTCTTTAATTTGATGTTGAACAATCCAAAAAATTGTTTCAAAAAAAAGTGAAGGATCACTTTTTTTTCAAGTTAATCCTAAATCGAGATTTCATACACAATTTAAAAGGTGCAAATAAACCTAAACCTCGTATAATATGAAAATTTTACTACAAACTCACGTGCTTTCACACGATGCATTAAATAATTACGATTTCAAAAGCACCGCTGTTGAGGTACTTTAGATCTAATATGCAATAGATTATTTATATTTGAATACAATTTGACGAGAGCTTTGTTGTTTTTAATGCTGCTGTGCATTTTCTGAAGTGAAAGTTCTCTGTTAAAATATATATTTATGTTTTTAATTGAACACTAAAGATATTTATATTTTAGTTTTTAAGTCTGTAAACTGTATTGAATAGTTTTATAATGAATAATTTCTATCTGCTTTGGTTCTGTTAAGCTTAGTTCGAAATCCTCTTAATTTTCTCTATATATTTCGCGTATGTTTGATTCACAAACTTATTTTATTTCAAGAATTAGAGTTCTAAATTATATGATTCTTACTTTATATTGTATCACATAAATAACTTAATTGACTCTTATATGTATCGCTGCATTTATAAATATTTGTGCTACTAGACGCTAAAAATGGAGGCAGCTACTTTACACCCAGTATTGTAGAGAACATTTTTGGTGTTTCATCACGACAGGAACTGTATTTGGTTTTACACCATTTTGGTGTAACGTAGTTATCATCATTTTTTGGTGTTAAGATACTCTAAATTTTTTTATAGTGGATTTTTCTAAAGCTGATGCATCTAAGTTTAATTAAACATCTCATTTCACACGAAGATCTTCAAATGTTTGTTTTTAACCCTCAATACGAAAATGATAGTGAATTCTTTTAAAAAAATATTACATAGATAATTGAGTTCTTGTAACTCGAGAGGAAGTGAAGTGATTATGCCTAACCATGTAATTTAAATCAGATTTCATTGGATACCTGTGAGCGACGTCACGTGTGAGTAACCTGATTGGCTTCTGAATCGACAAATGACGCAATTTATCTACGATGACGTCACTTGCAGGCATCCAATTTCTATATTTTAAATTAAATAAAACTAATAAGTTATATTATTTATGCACTTAGGTATGTTGCGGGATGATAAGTGCAACTCATGAATTCCGGAATATGGGCAATTATGGCGATTTTCTTACAAATAACAGGAGCTCACTCAAGAAAGATTATATTCAGTAAGCATATCAATTTTATTATATTTCCCTACTCTGTAAAAAGTGTTGGCGCATAGTTACTACCATTTTTGGCGTTGAGATAAACTAAATACATTTTTGAGTACAGAACTGTAGTTATAGTTCAAAAGATTATGAATAATTGACAAAATAACAATATTTGAAAAAATATGTGTAAATATATTAATAAGAATTTGTTTCTTTTTAAATGAAATGCTTTTGTTAAAATGATTCTAATGCGCATGAAAATATGTATTGCCAGCAAACGAACTAAAAATGAATAAATAAATAAATAAAACTATAACGGTGAAAAATAAAGTAAAAAGTACAACTACATGATCAGTAAAAATTTTTAGTTTACCTCGACACCAAAAATGGTGGAAAGTGTATACCAAAATTTCTTACAGCGTAGAGGGCAAAGCACTCTGCTACGCTATAAGACCTCTGCTTACAGTCATTCACCAACCCCTGTGATTGCTTCGCAATAATAATTCTCTTTCCTGCCATAAAACATGTTTTTTTTTTTTTTTTTTTTTTTTTTTTTTTTTTTTTTTGCTGGGATAGCCTGGTCGGTAGGGCACTGGGTCCATGTCCGGGAGTTCGTGGATTCGAACCCCACCGGCCGAAGACTCCCCCTGTAGTAAATGGCGACTGATGCGCGTTAAATCTGTCGAGTTGCAAAGTCCTCCATGTTCCCATAACAAATCAATACCTTTGGGCTACTGGATTGGAGATCGATCGTTCTCTGATTCAGGTCAAAATTACGATCTGTAAATGAATGGATGTATGAATGGGTCCGCTGTATAAAACGGGCTGTGATGTGTGTAGCCGAAGACAAATTCTTGACCATAGATGGCGCCACTGAAAAACGAAAAACGCATCCTCTGCCTTAAATTTGCTCGGTTTCACCAAGCAGGCCTGCTAGTGTGGCAAGTGGCATTAGAAATAACACAGCAACATGTTTTTTTTTTCCATCAAAAGATGAAATTACTTACTTGTTATGCACTATTAAGAAACTAGTGCTTCTTACTTGTTTTATACGAGTCGTAAAAGATCTATTTGTGAGTATAAACTTATTTAACTTGATTAAAAAATATTTTAGTAATTAAAATATATTTTTATTAAGAAATATCTTTATTGAAATATATCTTTATTAAAACAACACATAAAAATAAATGTTTATTGTCATAACAAATTTGGTGAGTTCACAACAGTAATTTAATAATTTCGCTTACCTAACATGTTTATATATTAAGTATAACTTAAAGTGAATGAAGTTGATCTTTAAGTATTAAATTATTTAATGATAACCTCCCCTTAATTTATAACTAGTATATGATTTACTTTAAAACAACAAAACATTTGTTTAACCATTAATAAGTTTTGATATTTATTTAAATATGTTTATCGTGAAATATTGTGTATAAGTTTACGTTATTGAAAAGAATTACGTTATTGAAAAGAAGAATACGTTAGAAACACCATTGAAAAACAAAGAAAAGAACACTGAAGGAACACCACTTGTAGTTTTAAGCCTTTAAGTGGACACTGGACGTTCAGAATAAGAAATATCTTTAAACAATCCATTACTTGGTTTTTAAGATGTTAAAAATTTCACCGTTTAATAAGTAATGTGCAACAAACTTGTTAAAATTGCAATTTTCCTTAAGGAGTTATAAGATTATGAATTTATTAAAGGTCCATATGTAATTCTCGTTGACTAAGTTTTTTTTTCTCGTAATGGAATTTTTCAATGTTTTCATAACTTCAAAAAAGCACACCAATTTTTGTTTTATTGTTATAAAATATTTTTTAGGTACTCTTCGATGTGTTTTGTAATTTAAATTCATTTGATTAATTTATTACCTTGTTGTTGTTGTTTTTGTTGTCGTGTCTGTGCATGCAGTGCTAGTGCAAAGATTAAAGTCCTCCAAAAGTCTTGATAACAAGATTTGCAATTTCTGGAGCCCGATGGTCGTGGAGAATTTCGATGGGGTGTGCGCCAAGTTGAAAGAGGGAGCCGATAATGGCCTGGCAGTCAAAAACATGGTCTAAAGTTAGTTGCAAATGAGGACAGTACTTGCAGATGGGATGGGATTTTATATTGGTGCTTGAGATCTTCATGCCCTTGAAATGTCTAGTGCGTAGCCTAGTTATTGTAGAGGAGAGGTTTCTTGGGCAGTTTAGATTTATTACATTAATTTATATTTTAATAATTGAACAAACATAAGTAAAGCGTTTTTATCGAAGAAATTCTTAGTGACAAAATAAAAATTGCATTTTTATACGATTACTATAACCACTTAAATTTACTTAAATTCCTATAAATAATATTTTTTGGTAAAAAATTTAAATGAAAAAAAATCAAAATTCGTTCGCAAGGAACTTTTTAATTATTGACAATTGAAAACCACACTGTTAGCTATAACTTAAAAACCAATTATTATTTTTTTCTAAAACATTGTACACAGACTTCTATTAATGCTATTAATATTCTGTTATAATTTGAAAATGATCGAATAAATATTGCACTTTTTTGTTTTTAACGTCCTGTCTCCCCCTTAATTTAAAAAAAAATAATCAAAATCAAAAACATAATAACATTAGAAATAAAATTTTGTCTATAAATACAGTTAGAGATAAAAAATAGGGTAGATCCTAGAATAGCCCACCCCGTGGCGTTTTTTTGAAATCTCGCCAAGCGACTTTTGAGAGAAAAGAAAATTATGACCAAACTAGTGGAGTTAATTATTTTTATTTTATTAAAAATATTTCAATAAATTTGTAATAATTTGAAAGTTTTTTTAATAATAAAAAAACAATGTGGATCCAAGTAATAATTGCCGACTTGGCGAGATTTTAAAAAAGTCTCCAAGCGGTGGGCTATTCTAGGATTTTACCTAAAAAAATTTTATACGTAAAAAATATGTTCATAACTTTTATTTGAATTTATGCTGATGACATCAAAAGATATCTTAAAATTCATGTGGAAAAACTTGATCTTATCATGTACTTTTCTGGTCAATAAGAATGCTCCAACAATATAGAAATCTGTTTTATTTCATTACGTACTTTTATATTATCTGATAGGGCAATACTACTCAATTCTGTCCTACTATGAAAAAGTCAGAGGCATAAGAAATTTAAAAATTATAATACTGACTATTTGAATAAGCAAGTCAACCAATATGCAATTAAAATAAGCAAATAATAATAATAACAACAATTTTCCTTTATTTAAATGTGAAACTTGAAAAATATTCTTATTACATATAAAATAAACGATAAATAAGTTCTGAATGGAAAAAAAATAGAACACCATCATTAATATAAGACTACACTTTCAAAACTTAATAAATATTTTTTAACAAGAACTTACCGCCATATGTTCTACTATCATTTTCATTCGTCTGCTAAAAACACAATCACTTTGAATAGTTATTGGACAAAAAAGGGTTTGCTTTTCCATGGTTTACTTGAGAATTAAGTTTTAAACTATGCATATAATTCTTTCTAAATCAACCGAAAATATTAAATATAAAATCCAACATCGAATTCACCGATTTAAAATCAATCAGAAGATTATTGATCGTTAGAATCATCGTAAAACTCATTTTATTTTTTCAAAACCCATTTAACTTAATGAGCTATGACGAATAAATTAATTTATCTAATGTTTGAGTAGTCTGGATTAAAAAAATCGGCTAACTGCTTTCTTTTGAAAGAAAAGAATATTATGAGTTGAATCATCAATATATCAAAGTTTCGTTAAATACGAGCATATTCTTTTTTTTCAGTTTCAGCTAAGCGAATTATTTAAATATTTTTTTAAAAGGAAAAGATTATTGAATACATTGTGTAATGTATTTACTGTCACATTTTCTTCATTTATCTTTTTTATTTTATTATTATGATTATTATTTTGAAGTAGTTACTGGAATTTACAGCTAGATATTTTATGGAAATTGCGGTTTTTTGTTTATGACTCCTATTTCTCTAGTACTATTACTTTGAATTCTTTGAAAATATAATTTTTGAACGATGCAAAGAAAATAATTTTTTCTTCATATATTCTTCGGCTTGCCACACATTGCCAAATAGGTTTTTTTTATTTTGATAAATTAATATATAAAAGAAAATTATATTCTATTAAACTGTTCGCGAGTTTGTGGCGTATTTACCACTATAAATATTAAATACCAATTCACTAGCATATAAGACATGTTAACTTAATTTTATCTAGAGGTACCTTTTGATAGAAGAAGGCTGACTTAGTCCAGTGTTTCCCAAAGTGTGGTACGCGTACCCCACTTAAGCGTTCTTATGCGGAATGTCTTGCAACAAACGAAAATTTCAAAAAATTTTATTTAAAAACAAAGCTAGCCATGAAAATTTACGATTACGTATTTTTCTATTGGCTATTTTTTTCCAGAGTTAACAGTTAATAATTAGTGGTGTCAACAGCCAGTTGTGACTTATAACTTTTGTGAAATTTTTTATAGTTAAAAATACATTCATTTTTTTAATAGTGGTACACAGCGTTACAAAAAATTTAGAAAGGGTACACAAAAGTCATGTTAACTTAACTTAACAAACACAAAAGTTTGGGAAACTCTGACTTAGTCAATAATTATAACCCCTCTGGTTTGATTCGTACGTACGTAATATGAACTTGCCAACGTCTGTGGATGGTCCACATTTAATGTGGACCATCCACAGTTGATTTGCTTAAAAATATAGAGCTAAAAAAAAAACCCGGTGATGTAAATTAAAGTTTCCCGGCCAATAAACAAAAACGAAGGAAAAAAAATAACGAAAATAAGATATAAATAAACAAAAAAGTAGAAAAAATATAATGAGCAAAAATGATATAAATAAATGAATAAAAAAGAAACCCAGCATAAATCAACTAGTGGTAATCGTTTATTTCTATCACGGATAAAATTCTGGAAAAGGAGTAATGTGGCGTAACTACCACTATAAATATAAAATACCAATTCACTAGTATATATGACACTTTAACTTGATTCTACCCAGAGGTATCTTTTGATGGATGAAGGTTGACACAATCAATAATTATAACCCCTGAAACTCACTTGATCTGCAGTGAAATTTAATCCCCCCAAAGAAATACATATTAAGGGTGATGATTACGGAATACCTTTTAAAATAATCGTCTTTGCTTCTTCTAAAATAATCTTATTTGTTTATTATAAAATAATTTTCTTTATTACTTCTTAAACAAATTACCTATAAAAAATCTAAAAATTTATCTATAATAGTTCATGTACGATACAAATTTTAATTTACCTTGTGAATATAGTACTAAGATTTATTTTTTTTCCTCATTATATAAATTAAATTTAAAATATAACTTGTTATATTTCATGAAAAAGTTCTTAATAATTATAATTTTCACAGATTTGGTTCACGATGCAAACGATTACGATGATGAGTTCATTGAAGTCATTGAGCTAGTAATGGAATCAATAACAGTACAGAAGCATCACATATCTTATGTTGTCAGACAAATAGATGCGTCGCTTCCACTTAGTAAACAAATTCCAGGTGAGTAAAAATAAATTTAAATCAATAATAAGCAATAGATTCTTTAAAAAATGATTCAAATAAATAGTATCTAGTACAGAAGTAAATATTTCTTAACTCTATAACTTTCTAACAACGATTGAAAGTGGCTTTTGGATTAAGGCTTTTTAAAACTTCTTTTTTGCATATTTGTATCTGTAAAGCATTTCCTTTAAATGAAAAAAGTATCGAAATCATCAATTCAAATTTCGTTATATTCGAATAATCAAAATTAGATAGAATCCTATATGTAGCTTGAAATTGCTTAGTGAATTCCAAAGTTAAGGAAATTTTTTTTTTTAAATTCTTTTTTATGAATTTAAACATGAAAATGCGACAATAATGGAGCAAAATATGACATATTGAAAATGATTACTGTTTGAAAAGATTTGATAAGATAATCGCTGTTTCAAATCGAAATATATGCTACTATAAATATAAGAACGTGGCTTTTCAAATAAGGAATTGTGACTTAAAAATAGAAAGAAATAATTCCTAAATTGTAATTTCAGAGCATCTCCGTTCAATTATAATTCGATTGTTATTCATAGCTTCTAATATAATGCTGTGGAAATGTGCAAAGGTTAAAAAAAGCATGAAATACTTCTTTCAATAAATTCAACAATGTGCGGTTATTGTATGTAAGATGAAACTAAGTGCGATTGCGTGGTATGAAAGATTGCTCTTAGTAAGGGTCTGGAAGGATGGGAGTACAGTTAGTACGCTCTCTGCAATTCCAGGCAGTCGAACAACAGCAGTTATGGAGTGCCTACTTGCTGCTAATTACAACTCTCACGTCTGAAACGTAGCTATTTTTTTGTTTTTCCAAAGCAACAACTTGAATATTCATAATTCTTTCGTTGAACTTCCATAGAATTGCACCAGCATGAAATATTTTAAAATGAAACGATTTCTCATAAGAAACTCCTTATTGCAATTAAAATTGGTCTTTCTTTTCCCAAAGAAACAACTTGAATATTCATAATTCTTTCTTTGGACTTCCATAGAATTGCACCAGCATGAAATATTTTAAAATGAAACGATTTCTCATAAGAAACTACTCCTTAAAATTAAAATTGGTCTTTCTTTTCCCAAAGCAACAACTTGAATATTCATAATTCTTTCTTTGGATTTGCACAGAATTGCACCAGCATGAAATATTTTAAAATGAAACGATTTCTCATAAGAAACTACTTGCAATTAAAATTGGTCTTTCAAGGTCACACTTTCTACCTTCGTCGCCTTGGTAATACTGCTCTTTTTATTCACACGGCTGATAAGGAGTATAGTATAACTCATTACTGTATATTGTTATAACAATAACAACGTACTGGCGTGGGGGGAAAAGTGAAATTTATGAATACCATGGCAATGAAAAGGGAAAAAGTGGCGAAATCGCGTAACCTTGAAATGTCTATTTGCAAATGGGTTAGAACTAGAAGTGGTTACTTCTAAAAAAGCAGCGTAATCATCTTTTCCAAAATGGGGTAGTTTGCTCGTGTGCTATTTAGGAGAGATGGAAAAAAACGTTTCTCTGCTATGAGGCAATGTTCTGAGAAGTCAATTTAGAGACTTGCAAATGACGGAAACTAATTAAGGATGCTTCATTTCAACGAAAGTTACTTTTCCTGATTCTATAGTTAAAGCTTTTCTTGAAATTTCTTATTTTTCTAAATTTTCTTGATTAAAAGATCATTCCTGATATAATATTTGTTTACAAAACCCTTACAGCAAACCTTCTTAAGTTCAGCTATTGTTGTCAAGGATTTAAGTAGTGTTATTTTTATCATTATTTCCTCTTACCTCTTTGGACAGACTGCGCTAAGAAGAGATAGAATCCTTATTTCCTCTTACCTCTTTGGACAGGCTGTGCTAAGAAGAGCTAGAATCATTATTTCCTCTTACCTCTTTGGACAGACTGCGCTAAGAAGAGCTAGAATCATTATTTCCTCTTACCTCTTTGGACAGACTGCGCTAAGAAGATTTCTTGGTTTCATTACAGCTGTTGTACCAAATTAAAGCATAACAACGAATATCACTTAAAATGCACCAAAAACAATTGCAGTCAGCATTGTTCATGGATAGTTCTAGCAAAAAATAATATTTATGTTTGCTTTTATTATTTTCTTGAACTGCGTGGAATTTATTTTTTACTTAATATAGGTATGTGCTCAATACAGACTGATTTCGAAGTTTTGTTGTCAGCAACTTCTTGCGATCTGCTGCTTAGATTAGCCAAACAGAGTTCTTCCATGGGTATTCTTCATTTCGCTGTGAATGTTGAAGATTGCGAATTGCATGATGAGATGAAAGTTTTCTTGGATAGAAAGCCTCGATCCGATGTATCTCAAGCAATTGTTGATGTCGTCTTGGACCTTAATAAAAGAGCTGATATAGTGATATTTCACGATGATGAATATGGTACCACAATTTATAGTATTAATAGAATAAATAAATGCAGTCTACGAAATAAATAAAAAAAGACTTGGAACAACTATAGTTTTATTAAATTGTAATCTTTCTATCTATCTTTCTAGATCTCTCTTTCTATATATCTTATGTAGCACCATAAACTCGGGTATTTTTCTATTTATTGTCAACACTATTGTTATTTTTCATTTTGTTGTCTTAAGTAATGATTCAAATAGTGCTGAATGTAGTTATTTAAACTTTAAGTATTTATTTCGATTCATTTTGTTAGGTTGTCCTAGGTAATAATTTAAGTGGTTTTGAATAGTTAGTTATACGTTAAGTATTTTTTTAGGATAATTTTGAATTATTTGGAAATAAAAACTTAGCTACGAAGTAATAATTTACATTCATTTTTGATCATTTCTAAAATGGCCGTAGAAATTTTAAGCATAAATGGTGCTATGGTGCCGCATACTGCCATACAAATTATTATTTGGTACGGAGCTTGCCTTTTTGGCAAGCGGCAAACGTGTATAATTAATCAAGGCTGCATACTTTAACGAATAAAATAAATCCTTACATTAACAAACTATTTACCAATTTTGCCTTTCTTTCTGAATATTTCAATATTTCCTCCTTGATAATCTAATCTTTATCTTTAGCAGCAATTTAATAATTTTTTCGCCCGAAAAATTAAATTTTCGGTTTATAAATAAATTTTTTTTAAACATTTTTTATAACATTTCAAAATAAGGTAAATTTTGGTACCGAAGTATTTACTTCATTTGAAATGTGATATTAATTAAGAAATTTTTTTTAAAAATAAAGCTGTTAATATTAAACAGAAATAAAGCTGTTATGATTGAAACTAAATATAACGATTACGATTCAAATATTACGATTTAAAATAAATATTGAAAAAAATGGACAGGAAGAATTTTTTACTATTTTTTTAAAAATAAATGTTTTAGCTCATTACTGAATGTGAATATAAAAGAGGTGTTTGTTTGAAAATAAGTTTCACATAGTGCAAAAAACGAATGTCCTTTTTAATGCAAAGATAGAGAAAGCTCCGAGTTTTCAAAACATTTTCCAAAAAGAAAAAATTTTTTTGTTTACGGAGAAATATTCAAATTTTACGTGTATTCCGCTTTCCATGTTTCGTAAGAAGAATAAGATAAGACCGGAAATAACAAGAATTGTGAAGAATATTGCTTCGCCCTATCTCAACTAACGCTAACAAAAATATGTCCAATTTTACATTCAAATTTTATGCTTGAAATTTTTTTTTCTTCGTCTAATTTAAATTTTCTGTAATAACTAATGGACTCCGCCCCCAGTCCGCTCCCCAACCCTCAAAGATTGCCATGCAATTTTATATGGTGTTTTAGACAAACCATAATTGCTTTTTTTACTGCTAAGTACAATTAATTTGAAATATGTTCTAGTATAAAATCGTAAGAATTTAAATCAATTATAAAAATGTTTTAAGCAAACTTCTGTTTCAAAAATTATAATTTTTAATAAATAATAAGTAATTTAAATAAAAAAAATCTAAATCGAAATAAATGACATGTAATAGAAAACCTTACAAAATCAAAACAATAATTATGCTTTAAAAAAACAATTACTATTAAAGATTCACAACTTTATTAAAAACACAATTATAAATTTCAGAACTTCCAGCTATCAGAGTAAAGTTATCAAATGACCCAAGTCTTGAAATGTCAACAAAAAGTTGTCTATGACTAAAAACTGGTTTATTCAAAACTTAACTGATTTTTTTTAACCATTTCGCAAGACCAGGTGAACTGGGAACTATTTTCTCTGGAAAGAAAAGGACATGTTGTTATTTGATGGATTTAGATGAATTCTGTGAATGTAATTAAAACATAATATAAAACACTTTGAGTGTTGACATGAACTATTTGCTTTCAACCTTTTATTTCTGCCGAACTGATAGCTCAGTTTGTTTTCGCTTTTCGGCGTCCACGCGAAAAAAGAATTTCTATTTAGAAATTTGTAAATGTCTACGTTAACGCTTTCATATTTATGACAGCGCACACGCTTGATATTTAATCCTTTGTTACCAACACGAAAAAGAAATGTGGACTTTATTTCTCACTGTAGTTAATTATATTTTAATGTTATTTTCTTATAGTAAAAAATAAGACAGCATTAAATTTATCTAGCTTTTACTTGTGACATTAATGCTTCCAATAGCTAACATGAGGTTCAGATGTCATACATTGTGCAGAGTATTCCGTAAACACCGCAATTAATATGTATTTCTCAAATCTTTATCAAGAATGAAAACAAAGAGGTATACATAGTGATGGTTGCAAATAAATGTTAGCGAGGAAAGAATAAATCTTTATCGAAATCTGGCAAATCACAGAAAAGAAATGCGAATGTAATGGACAACAAGACAGGTTTGATTGCGAGTAGCTGAAGAGAAGTTGAAAGACGATTATTTGAAGCACATTCAAGTTCCATCATCCAATTTGACTTGCTTCGATGATAATTCTTTCTTCGTCTTCGATTTGTTAATGTTTTTGCCTTTCCTTCGTTTAATTAGTGTTAATTTGAGACCTATGATGCGTATACTTTTTCCGCTTTAATTTCTGATAAGGGTTTTAAAAATGCATATTAAGAGTGGTTTTTACGGAACACCCTCTATTGAAGATAATAATTATACAGGATTAGCTTAAATGAATCATCAGATTTTAAATATTCATATTTTCGAAAATATTACACTTATTATGTATACGGAATTAAAGAAATTAAACCAAGTTTTTTTTTCAGTTATAAATGTTCCTTCGTCATACAACAAATATCTGATCTGTAACCAAGTTCGTTCCATTCACTTTGAAATTTTACACAGTCAATGGGTTTTTCGAATTCTTGCTGTGTCTTCGATAGCTGTATATTATAAACTGGGACTTGGACGCGCGAGTAATAAAGGATTTGCTCCATATCATATGGCCACCTTAATCTCCTGAACTTACGCCATATGATTTTCTTTTCTAGTATTGCTTCAAAGACACTGTTTATAAGCCACTGATCTTGAAAACACTTCAAAAATCCATTAATACGGCATTAAGAACCATTGACAGTATAAAACTTTGATCATAGCTTAATCATAGGTAAGATAAAGTAACAAAAAGGCCAAAATCGAAAAGTTACTCATTCCTTTGTGTTAATCGTAGTAAACATAAAATTTTAAAAATTATAATCGTCGTGTCATTGAAATATTGTATATTACAGTCGTTAAATATGAATCATGGAATGATTGGTCAGTTGAAGAAAAGTTGTCTTAACACGCAAAATTATAGTTAACAATAGAAGTTTAAAAAAAATTAAAAACAGGAAGGTGGAAAATAAGTTATAGAGATGGCCACCATAATTCTCAGATCTCAATTCGAAACGCGATTGGAAATTCCTGAGAATATGCCACAAACGACCTATCAACATCTCATAGATTTCGTATCGAGGTTGATCAAGGTTGTATGACAAAAAAAGAGAGGCCGAATTAAGAATTAAAAGGAGATCATGATAAAGGGATCACGCATAAAATAAAATAAAAGTTCTACCTTATTTATGAACAATTTTAAATTCTGATTTTAATGAGTTATATTAGGCAACCATTAAATAAAACAAACAATAAAATATGACTATGTCCTTAAGTCTTTTAAGTAACAATTTTCATGCAAAAGTCATTATTAACCTTTATTTTCTGCAACATTTCAGAAGGGTACAGTACTGTGAATTCCCTTTTAAAGAAGCTGATAGTTAATGGAATCCGTTTTTCTTATCTTTGAGCTGAGACGAATGTACGGAAAATAAATACTTAAAATAAAAAATTATACAGAAAATAAATATATACTCAATACGGAAAATAAATACTTAGATATACTTAACATTTTTAAGTAACAATTTTCATGCAAAAGTCAGTATTAACCTTTATTTTTTGCCATATTTCAGAAGCGTACAGTACAGTGAATTCCCTTTTAAAGAAGCTGATAGTTAATGGAATCCGTTATTCTTATCTTTTAACTGAAACAGATATACTGAAAATGACTCTGAGGCTAGATAAAATTGCGAGAAGAACAAAAGAGCTCAATACCGTGGTTCTGGAAGACTATTCTGCTTTTAAACAGCTTTTAGATAAGGTATGCTCAAAAAAAAATATTTTTTTGATATAAATAAGTATGAAATTAAACTTGAATTCTGCCATATACTCAGGCCCTATATTCCCAGGGGAGGAAATCGGTTCATAGTTGAACCATAATACTTATACCTTGAACTATAATAACGAGCAAGTTCACTTCGTCTTTAAGAAGTTGTTAACTTGAACTATGTTTCTGATTGAATTGAACTACAGAATAGTGTTTAGAAAGTTTAAGATTATTTAAATTGCACTATAAAATGATTTAAGTTAGTACCATTAAAGTTAGTTCAAGTTAAGTTAAAGTCAAGCAAGTTCAAGTCAAACAAGTTCAAGTTAGCAATGAACTTGACCAATACCATTCAACACCACCCAAAACTTTTAATAAGTTATCGCAGAATAAGCAAAGTTTTAAGACAGAACGTTATACCCCAGTAGTAAAAAACTAAAGAGGAAATTTTTTAAAAAGTAACTATAAGAATTTCAACAACTGGTTATTTGTCCTTTTGGAGGTATGTTCAAATTTTGCACATTTTGTGGTAATCACCAATTTTTATAATCAGATTTATTAAATCGACAATCAAGCTTAACTTGTGCTACCCGTAGGAAAATTATTCCTCGATTGTGACTGGAGTATATGTATATATAGTTCGTTCACCAGGAGTTGGCACTTGGCTCCGCCTTCATCACGTGGGAGAAGGATGTGAACAATCCTGAACAAGATTTCTATTTGGCGATTGTATGACAAAAATATTTATTTCGCAATCTTTATTTGCATTTTTTATACATTAAATCTTTCATAAATTTGATGATATTTCTCCCTTTTGAGTGAATAGTTTGTCCTTTTGGGGACATTTTGCTGGGAAACAGCAGTTTTTAAATGTAAAATGTATTTAATTAGCTAGAGTAATGGATGGTACAATAGCAGATGATAAAGCGAAGTAAATGACTGAAAAAGAATTCACTGTTTGCGTTTGGAGCTCATAAAGGGTTGTCTCAATTTCAAGCGCAAAGACGTTTCTCCTCTTACTCCCGTGCTGAAATGATCTCTTCATCCGAGGAGGTAGAGCCAAGTGCCAACTCCTGGTGAACGAATTATACTAATATCATTACCATTGTGCATGCGGTATTCCCAATACCACAATTGGTGTCACATTTCCATTACTTGCTGTATTGCATCGCCATTTTGCCATTTCTGGGAAAATTTTGTTGTAGGTGGGTATGCAGATATAAAAATATTATGCCTCATGAAATAAAGCCAATTTTAGTTTATGATATAACTGGACGCAAAAAGAAATCTACGAGAAACAAACATGTAGAAAGTTTATATCTGGACACATATTTATAAGGAGTACTTTAATTCCTGCCCTGCCTGGGCAGAGAAAGAATAAAATAAGTTAAAAAAAGAGGGGATAAAGTGCCCCTCCGAAAAAAAGCGGCTACTGTTAATAGCCAATATATAGACCATGTTTATACATAGCCAGAAATAAGATGATCTTGCCTATCATTTATTAAATCTTTAAGGACGTAAGTCTCAATATTAGCCCAGGTTTCGATTGTCGTAGCTTTCAATTTTGCTACAAACAGAAATTGTTTTTTTTTGTACATACAGCCCTGCTGAAGATAGCCCCTATGTTTTCTTGGGTTTTGGGGTTGAGGGTAAGATAAACTCATTCATGACAAACACCTTATTATCCAAGAAAACGTCAATGTAAAGATTTTTCAGCGTAAATTGAGGTATTACCTTGCTGGAAAATTTGACATTCGCCACCAATTTTCTCTACAAACGGTAATTAATGGGTTTGTACCATCTTTAGTTTATCGGCCCCCTCTATGAGACATGGTAAGAAGCTAGATTAAATTTACCACTACAGCCAGCACTTTCCCACACCATTTTAGATCCTTCACCTTGCTATCCATTGCAGAAAATTTGCATACATTTTGAAAAATTGAGTAAAACGCAGCGTGAATATTTGTGTAAAAAATCAAACCGTTTCACAGATTTCACTGCCTTAAATTGTTTTTACTCAATGCCTGAAAACGTATTAATTTATTTTAAAATTTTTAGACACATGAGCTGGGAAAGTTGAATCCAGATGTATCTTATTTAATAGTAAATGATGGATGGGAACTTGAGAATCCAGAAATAGAATTCCCTCAACCAGTAACTTATTCAGTTGATGTCAAACTTCTTCTCTTAAAGCGAAAGATTAGCGATCCTCTTTCTGCTGAACTTGCAGATCTTCTAGTCAACAATTCAGGAGAAGACACACGAAGAATAGAGAAATGGAAAGTATGTCATCTTATTCAATATATTGTGTTCTGAGGATTGGCCTATGTTTTATAGTTATTAAGTTATTTCCTTAAACTGAAACTAATGCCCTGATTACTACGAGTATTTAAAAAACTTTTACATTGGTACTGTACATTTTAGATATAATAATACTACATTCAACTAAGTTTATTTTTTTGAGAACACTAATTTTATTGACATGATTGGCAAAAATGTGTCAACTAATTTGAAAAGAACTTTCTTCGGATAAGACAAGACTCTTAATGGATGAAATTGCCTCCGGAGTTGTGACAGTAATAAAAATGTTGGAGCTATTTCCAAATGGAAAATATATATCACAGCTTGAAATGTTGATCTTTCGTAACACTTTTAGCTGTGGTGAAAAAGTGGAGTCAGTAGACCTAAAAACCACCCTTTAAAAATTTTTAATTTATTTCTTCTTTAAAATTTTTTTTATTCTTATTTATTTCATATTTTTTTTATTCATGGTTGCAGTTCTTAGTAAAAGGATATTTCATTGAGTTACTAATTACCCGGAATTGAATAATTTTACGGAGGTTCATTGTCTTCACCAACAGGAAGAAAAATATGGTATCTAAGAATGCATCTAAGAAACGGTATCTAAGAAATCTATGAATTTTTAGATAATATGACCGAAAAGTAAAAAAAAAAAATAAAAAATGAAATATCTATTCATGCTTGCAGAGTTTAAATTTTTTAGCATATAAAATATTTTCTTACTTATAGTTTATTTGGGAGTAGTGTTTTTATGTATAATAAAAACCACAGTCGAAAAATATTCTAAAATAGAGGTCCCACGTGACATTTTTTCTTACTTTGTATAATTTATTAATGATAAGATTTCATTATTTAGATTTTAAATTCGCTTAAAGAGTTACATTTTCTGATTAATAATCAGCAGTATAAAGATTAATATTTTTTTACATGAATAATATAAAAAAAATAATAATCTTATTGCTATTTATTATACTTAGAGCTACTTATTATATTAAACACTTATTATATTAAATACTTATTATACTAAATACTTATTATATTAAATACTTATTAAATTAAATACTTATTATATTAAATACTTATTATATTAAATACTTATTATATTAAATATTTATTATATTAATCACCTATTATATTAATTACTTATTATACTAATTACCTATTACATTTACTGCTACTTATTACACTAATTACTTTTCATACTTACTGCTACTTATTATCCTAATTACTAAATTATACTTACAGCTACTTATTGTACTATTTACTTATTATACTTACTGCTACTTTTTATACGATTTACTAATTATACTTTATTCCATTTATTATACCAACTACTTATTATGCGTACGCTACTTATTAAACTAATTATTGATTATACTTACTGTTATCTATTATGCTAATTAATTTTTATACTTACTGCTACTTATATACTAATTATTTATTATACTTACTGTTACTTAATATACTAATTACTTATTTTACTTACTGCTACTTATTATATTAATTTAAATATTTTTCAGATGCATATGAGTAGAGAAGACGTGTTCGCTACTGCTGCTATTCGTAATGTAGTCGAAGCGTCTATCGTGATGTGGGATTTTGAAGACCACGAACGTAATGGTAAATGCAAGTACTTCAATGAATCCGAAGACGGAAGTTCGCCTTCTTTCTCATCTCTTGTTTCGGTAAAACAATTTTTTTTTTTTAAAATGTAATTTTAGAATCCTTTTAAAAAGGTAAAAAACAAAAAAGTACACACACTGGGGGCGAATAACTCTATCGAAATTCACAAACAACAGTAGAGTAAGGCAAATGTAATAAACAAAACTAGAGATTGTCTACGGAAAGAATTCCCCCCACCACAAAGTCTGAGGCCGTCTGCTGCTATGGAAACAAGAATAGCGCATTTCAGGGAGGGTAGCTTCTCTTCCTTTCTAGGGCTAACACAATAGACAGAAGAAAAAGATTCCCTTTTTTTCGCCGACCCCACGTTCTTGAAATTGTTGCACCTTGTTACCATAGTCACCGCCACAGGTCCAGACGAATGGCTAGGGGAGTTTTTACTTTAGACAAACTATAGTTTGATTACAGGAAGGAACTGAGAGAAGTTAAGACTATTATTAGATTACTTTCAAGCTTTTCCTGTCTTGCTGTTTATTACATTTCTTTTCCTGTACTGTGATTTTTCCGAATCTCGATAGTGTTTTTGTTTTCTCCTCGTTCAAATATTAATTTGCGGCCCTCCATAATTTGAAGGCCTTAGTGTTGACTCTCAATAAATTCTTTCATTTTTATTTTTGATAAGAATTCTTAAAGGTCATATAAGGGGCGCCCTTTCTTAAACACCCTGTATGGTGTTTCTGCATAATTAAGAAATAATAAAGTGAAATAAAATTTTGAAGAATTACTTATTTTAAGTAGACTGAAAAGGAGAAAACTATTCACTATTTATAAAACCTAACACGATAAACGAAGACGACATCATTTTCGACACATATGGGTGGGAAACTTTCGGTGTTGGCGAAAGTTTATTACGAAACTGATGTATCTATGTTTTTAATTTTAGGTCGGACAAAATTCCATCTTTTTGTCCACTTAAAAAAAGACAGTTTTTAAAATTCTATTGGGTGTACAAATTAGTTCGGTCCGTTTTTTTTGTGGTCAAAAATGCATTTATTTTTGAGCAAAATGAACGAACAGATTAATCAAAGTATTGTCCATTGCTGGCTACTACTTTTTCCCACCTCTCAGGCAAATTTCGAATTCCATCTCGAAAAAATGTCTCGTCTTTAGAGGCGATCCAAGTTAGGGGCAATTTTCGATTTCTGCGAAAGAAATGAACCGGTGACCTGCCAAATTGTGCTGAATCCGACGGAACAACCAGTAATCAGAAGGAGCACTGTCTGGTGAATACAGCGGGTGCGGTAAAATATCCCACTTGAGCATTTCCAAATAATTTTTTACGACTTTTGCGACAGCGACATAAGGCTGACCGTTATCATACAGAAGAATAGCTTTGTCATGTCTTTGCTCGTATTCCGGCTGTTTCTCTTATAATGCACGATTCAAACGAATCAATTGTAGCCTATATCGATCGCCCGTAATGGAATCGTCAAGTTGTAGCAGTTCATGGTATACAACACCATTCACCATTCTTCTTTCACCATTCACGAAACGTCGAAACCATTCCCAACATGATTTATCAGTTGGAGCATTGTCACCATTAACTTTTACAAGCATTCGATGCGCTTTAGCTGCCTGCACTTTTCTTGCAATTAAAGCAGAAACATTAAAATCTCCCGCAAATGGTGCTTAGTTACCACAAAATTTGACATATTCAACCAAGTAAAAAACAGGGTTTTTGTATGAAACTCAAAGCGATATGAACTGAATATTATTGACAGATGTATAACCTCTCTGAAACCATCGAAACCAGCTGTCACTATGAAACATTCATAATAGCCAGAGCTATCTTTTGAAAACGGACCGAACTAATTTGTACTCCCAATATTTTAATAAATATTTCTACTTTTTAGTTTTGTGACTATTAGCTTATTTATGTAAAAAATGATTGAAATTTCGATTGACAATAAAACGGCACACGGCTTCAGATGAGATATGATAATAAACAATTAATTCTACTTGTAGTGGTCGGTTAACGATTGAAACTTGTATGTCTTTAGAAATTCACATGCTCTAGTTAGTCGAATTTTCGACAGCAAGATCATACAATGCTCTCACACTTCCGAAAATTAACTATAACTAAGTAGTGAAATAATCTAAGGTGTAATCATTATTTATTAGCTTATTCTTATTATTTAATGATAATGAAAAAAATTTTTTTTTTTACAGTTTGCATTAAAATTTATTTATTTTAGACTTTAGAGAACACCGAAAACTGTTTGAAATTACAAAAGAGTTAATTATGTGATTTATATTTTTCGGATGATTAAAAAATATTGTAATTGTCTTACTGATATCATTTTTAAGCAATTGCCTATGAGATAAAAAATGCATAAATATGCTGAGAAAGTAAAAAAAAATATACTCGCCATTCTTTTTTTATTTTTTAAATAATTTTTGATCTTATGATTGGATTTTATCATGCTAAAACTCAATCTTATGATCCAAGAACCTTATCCAACGATATTTTATGTTGCGAAATTGTACACAAAAATGCACTTTCTTTGTATAAACATACAGTTTTTCGACTGATTTATATTCTTGATTCCCAAAATATGAAGGGTTGTCGTAATCTGGTTATCATGGTCCCAATAGTTAGGCCAGGATATCGGTCTGGAGCAGCGGTTCCCAATGTTTCTCGGCTACCGAACCCTATGTAATAAATCTTCTTTTGATGGAACCCTGGCTTTCTAGATAAAGATTTTTTTAGGTGATTGTGAACGTTTTAACCCTAAAAAGGCTATTTTTAAAATATTTAAAATATTTAATTAGTGGAATGAAACTTTTTCATTCGTTTTATCATTAATAATCTAACATCAGTTTTTATGTCCGGCATTTAAGTTTCCGGTTTTTGTGCTATATCTAGTCTAGTTATGAATTTGCTTTTGATAGATATAAATAAGCTGAAAATGAATAAAATAAACTAAATTATGGTTTACTTCGAAATGAAAACTTATTAAAACTAAACTGCTGTAACGTTGAAAATGCTTGTTAGTGAAATTTTTTTTTACTAACGAATCTAGTTATTTTATTTTGATTTGAAAAGCGCGATGAAAGATACCAATACAATAATATATAATTGTTGTTGTTATTTATGTGTCCATGGATTTCCGGATAACATCAAAAGTTCGGACTATTGCGGCCACCAGCTTCGGCGCCTCTATAATATATAATTGCTTCCTCTTTTTATAATTTTTTCTATTTATTATTATTCGAAATATTATATTTTCTTTTCAAAAAGCCCATTTCTTTTTCATTGGCATTTTACTAGCAGTAATTTCATAAAAGCAATCGAAAGATTAAATAAATTATGAATTTTAAGTTGGATCTAAATGTAATCAGAGGTTTCAAAACTCATCACAGGTTATAAGATAATACTAACTCAGGGAACCCCTTTAACTCTTCCACGGTATCCCAAGGTTCCTCGGAACAGCATTCGGAAACCACTGGTCTAAATATTGAACTCCTTATGCTAATTTTGCTTTTTGCTTATTTCTCCATATCTCGAGAACTTTGAAAATTTGAACGAGATTGGTCGAATAGTTCTTGGAAAATCAAAATGTTTTATTTTTATTTTTAATTATGATATAATATCGTTATATTATATTTTAATTATATCATAATGTATGATTCACTACTCTTTATTAAAAGCACAGCAAAAGTACTTGAAATTATGACGTAACTTTAAAACGATTTTTATTAAACAACACTGTACAGTGTGAGAAAAAAAAAAAAAAAAAAAAACAGGAAATCTTGAATAGCTTTTGATCTAGTAATCGAATCTTCAACTATTTGAACTCAATCTTAATAGTTTGAAGGTTGAATGATTGACTCCGAGCAGACAATATTTCAAGTTACGAAATCAAACATAAAAACATATTTTCTCTGAATACTTTCTCTATAAAACATACTTTCTCTGTACTTTTTTTATTAGCAGATTTGGATTCTTTACCCTTAAAATATGAATGTAGCCGCAATTATAGTCTTAACCATTTAATCAAAACAGTGGTCGGAAATTTGGATCTCTAAATGTTAATTTACTTTTTGCATATTTTGCTAGACCTCATGAACTTACTAAACGAATTGAAAAACAGTTATAAAGATCGTATACAAATGCAAATCCAAAGGCAAATCGTTTATCAAAAGGTCTTGCGAAAAATAATTTCTATTAATTAATTATTTTTTTATTTCTTTGTTAAAATAATTTCGAAGTGTAAAGTACATAAATTTTTCCAACATTTTAATAAATGCATTTTTAAATGGCAAAATACAAAATTTGAGCGTAATCGCCGAATCCGTCATAAAACGGTATGTTTATTCATATCAGAGAAAATACATTTCTGTATCTCATTTCGTAACTAAAAATATCTTCTCCGCTAATTAATTCGCATATCTGAGTTTAAGTTCTCGAACCATTAAGTTTGACTCTTAGTGCTTAAAAACCCGATCTTAAGATCTAAAGTCCTTCAGGGTGATCTATTTTTTTCCTTCTCAATATACAATACTAAAAATATTTCCGAGCATTCAACCTAAATATCGATAAAATATTTTAAAGATTAATTAAATTCTTTAATTAATTGGTTTAGCCTGAGAAAATCTAATATGCAGGTGTAAACAAATGTTTACATAGATAAGTGGTTCAGTTTTACAATTTATCAGGTAACTTGATCTATGCTTGTATTAGTTCCAGGTTCAGCAATATTTTAAGAGAAGATTTTTTTAACATTATTTCCTTTCCAGATAGATTTTGTGTTACAGAAAATAATGACTTTAATTTGCTTTTTAAATGTATAAAAGAAAGTGTGTTTTATTTAAATTAATATCTTAACATTGTTTTAATATATTTCTCTTGTTTATTTACTAGAAATACATGCTAGACGCTAGAGTGCTTCCAACAAGCCATTCTTACGATTTACTTAAAAACTTTCCCGTCAAAACAAATACAGAAATATTTAGGAAAATAGCTTCGTGGGATTCAAAGAAAGTGCCTAGGTTTAAGTATGTTTCCAAAAATATCGAACGAAGACTGCTTTTTGAAAACAGAACTCTAAAGATAGGAATGCCTTTTGTGAGTTATATTCGCAAATATTTTTATTTTTTAAAAATGTTAACTTAACTATTAACAACATTTTTTTGTTGCTAACAACAACTACAACTATTTTGTTACAAATGTGGTTTACTTCAATTACTTGAATACAAATGTAGCTACTTTATTAGAAATGTAGATAGCTACAATTACTTTATTACAAATGTAGTTAACTGCAATTAACTTATTGCAAAAGTTGTTAACTACAACTACAAATACTTTATTGTAAATGTTAAGCAGTAATTACTTTTGAAATGTAGTTATTACTCAACTATTTTTTGGAGACAAACTTTATGAAAGAATTCCATTTGAAATCATGTTTAAAATTAAAAAAAAAGTTGAATATTTAAAGAAAAAATTTGTAAAAAAAATGATTTAGAATCTAAAATGAGCCGATTCTTTTATAGTTTTTTCAAACTTTCAAATTTTTATGCCTTCTTTGAGAGTCAAACTAGACCTTCATATACTACAAACACTGGTATACACTGGCGCAATAGACCTTCATATGGCGCCACTGAAAAACAGGAACAATCGCACCCCCACTGCCTAAACAGGCATACGACAAAAAAAATAGACCTTCATATATGAAGTTTTATTACGGCATATGAAGTTATATATGAAGTTTGATGAAGTAATGAAGTTTTTCCATCATGTCAGATAGTCACTCATTTTTAAATTTCTCAAATTATTTGTTGCTTGACAGTAACTCCACTTTTTTTGATGTTTTGAAACGAGTAAAATATTCGCCACCTAAAATCAACGAGATCTATCTATAGTTATTATATAATTTAAATGGTAGACTTAAAAATTTAAATGGTAATGTTTTCAGAAAAAAATTATTGTAAAACCATTCCGAAATATACATTTTTTAAAAGGTAATTTAATATTACACATATGCTTGCTTTTAGAGTTTTTAAAAATTTGCTTTTGCGTTCTTATGTGACCAGGGTCCATTCGAGGGTTTTGAAACAATTTTTAAAAAACTTAATTCAAAAATTATTCTGAGAATTATTACTCCTCAATAAGGTTCCAAAGTTAAAGTTTTTTCATGGACGAAAAAAAGAAGCTTATGTTTATCTTTCATTGAAAGTGAAAACTACAATAAATGCATATACTAAAATACCTTCAATGTATCCCCAAGTGACATCTCAGAACTCCTATTTCTTCTTCTTATAAGTTTTTATAGGTGCAATTTATAGAGATCTTAGATAAAGTTTTCCAAAAATCGATGTAGCATATCGTAAGTGATGTGTAAGGATTAGTTTTACATTCCTTTATCTCCAAACGATTCTATTTAACAGTAGCTGATTCAACCAAGTAATCATGAGTTGAATAATGGGAAGTGTTTGATTCCGTTTTAGAAAATAGATTAAAGCAATACACCAATGTTTGTATAGTATACATAATTAAAGAGTTGAATGAGTATAGATTCTATGTGACATTTTACTGAACTTGTGTAAACTTAGTTTAGAAGTTGACAGTAGGAAATAAAAGATTTTGTCATGGCTTTATATCTTATCCGCAAGTTCCAGTTGGAAAATTCCAACAGTTCCGAATACTCATTTAAATAATTCATACCATAGCGTTCGTCTCTCTCGACGTTTTAAGCTGTCAGAAGGTTATTCGCGGGCATTTATTGCCAAAACATTTAAAACTTCAAAAACACTCAAAAGTTATAGTTTGGTGCTATCATCTACTGATATCTGCTAAATTTGAAGACTTGTAAAGTTAAAAAGGTTAAGTAAGTGTGCATATAGCTAACTATTCACTCTTATTTAAAACACTTGCGGAAAGCCAGAAGGGTCTGATCTAGTGGATGACTTGAATCAAGACGAAGGGAGCAAATAGAAGAGGATTTGAAATTACTTAAAACTACCAACTACAAGGAAAAGGTGACCAAGAGAAAAGAATGGTCCAAAATCCTAAAGGAGGACTAGGCTCTGCGAAGGTTGTTAATTCACCAGAACGACAAGGAAGTGTCTATAGTTAAAAACATGGCCAAGTTACAATCTTTCCCACAGAAATATAATTTTTTTTCTTCAAAAATGTCACTGCTTAGTTGGTGTTGTTAAATTGATTAATATTACTTCATATTTTTAAAAAAAAATCACATGTATTTGTCAACTAAAAGAGTTAATTTAAAAAACTCATTCTAAAACTGACTATGGTCTCTCTTTTTTAATACAGAGTCCACCCTATACCATCTCTACCAACTCTTTTGAAGATGATTTTGAAGATGGTGTTGTGGAGAGATTGTTTCAATATTTAATGCAGCAATTGAAGTTCAAGTAAGTGCAAAGTAGTTCTTTCTTGCAAAATTTCCTTTCCTTTGAAATTCAAAAGCAATACTGTTTCAAGATTTCGCTTTTAGGTATGAAGTTATATCACCAGAAGACAACGAATGGGGTGTATTAATGCCAGATGGTACGTGGAGTGGGGCTGTTGGGATGTTGCTCAACAGAGTAAGAAACTATAAATTATAATGTATTTCAGTAGATTGAAATTTATTATAATATTTTTTTATTGAAATTTTTGAGGAAATATAAGAAAAACTTAATTTAAGATAGATAAGAATCCATGCCAGATTGAACTGTTATATGATATATATGTTACCGGCAAAGTTTGGATTCCGGCATTCTATAATAGAATGCCTAGGCATTGTATATAATGTCTAAAACTAGCCGGCAATGTATGAAAAGATTTATATTTCACACATTTCCTAGGCATTCTATAGAATGCCGAATGAGAAACCAGCAAAGTCTAAAATACATCTCCGATTTCCAAATCACTCTCAGTATTTTTTCAGAATAACATTTTTATTTTTGAGAAATGCATGTTACTGTGAATGACCGAAATCTGGAGAACGTCGATTTTAACCGGTGAATGTCAACAATCACTTAGTCGCTTTGGTGAATGTCTGAAATATTTATTACATCCGATTTGATATTAATTTATTCTTGGATATAATTACATTTATTCGATATTTTATTACTTACTGACGATAGATTACATTTATTCGATATTTTAATACTTACATACTGGATTAAAAGAAACATCAGTGTTTGGAGTATCGGGCAAAAATATATCGGGCAATGGCACTTGACCTTAAAAAAGCATCAGTGTAGGGTATACCGGGCAAATGTATACCGGGCAGTGGCAGTGAACCTTAAAAAGGCATCAGTGTAGAATATACTGAGCAAATGTATACCGGGCAGTGGCATTTAACTAGACCTAGTATATATTTCGGACATTTGCCAAAGGTCTAGTCATGGTAATATATTATCAAAAAGTTTAATATATTAACAAAATGTTCTTAAAGAAAATTGCAATTAATTATATTTTATCAAAGAAATAATTTTTATTTATTTATTATTATTTTTTTGTTGTTTAAAAATATCGACTTTTAAGAAACAAAAAATAATGACTAATGTGAAGTAGTCACAGGAATGAGGAGCGGAGACATCCGGGTGTGGTACCTTCTACTAAATAAAAAATAGTTTTTATAGTTCGATATTGTTGTCGTTGTAGCTCATTTACGTCGCCCTAGAGCTGCACAATGGGCTATTGGCGACGGTCTGGGAAATATCCCTGATGATGATCCGAAGATATGCCATCACAATTTTGATCCTCTGCAGAGGGGATGACACCCCCGCTTCGGTAGCCCGACAACCTGCACGTGAAGTCGAGCACTTTACGGTAGAACAGTTTAACGAGGACCAATACCGCACACCCTCGGTCCCTACGCAGACTAATCCAAGTGGTCACCCACCCACGCACTGACCGCAGCCAGTGATGCTTGACTTCGGTGATCTGTTGGGAATCGTGTCTTAACGATCAGTCCACTGAGGGACATTTTTAGTTCGAAGTTGATTAAATTGTCAATGAGTTAAATATTTATTCTTATAATTTATGTTATTCAATAGTACGGTAATAGTACTATAATAGTACTATACGTTACTATACTATAGTATTATACGATAGTACAGTACTATGCTATAGTACTATACGATAGTACAGAACTACGCTAAAGTATGTACTATACGATAGTACAGTACTATGCTATAGTACTATACGATAATAAATAGCATTAAAGAGTTGTGTTTATTAATAAAACAGTTATTGAAGTTATCATTATTTTGTCTTCGTTTATTTTGCTTTACATGACTTAAAAAAGTTATTTCTTTCCAGACTGTTGATCTTGTACCTTTTCTCGGAGTAACAAGAGGTCGGAGTCAGTTTTTGGATTTTTCCGATCCGGTCATGACTACCAGTTCAGCAATTCTCGTCCAGAAACCCCGGGTACCCCCAAGGACACTAATATTTCTGAGACCATTTTCACCTATGGTTAGGACTAAATATTTATGCATTAAAAAATTTGGCCAACAATAATCTGTCGATTTTATATCTTTTTCTTCCAAACGAATTGATACTATTTCATCATTAGTTTTGCTTTTCAGTACATATTTTCTTAAATTTTAATTACCATAATAATTTAGTTTTCTCGAAACAAGTTTTAAAAGTATAGTAGAAGCAAAATTAATATTCCTATTGCTGTAGGAATGCTAATTTGGTAATGTAGTCCAACTTTGCTGTCACTTTCATGCTAATCATTGAGTTTATCTGATACAACGAATAAAAAGTAATTAAATATTTCAGAACGAGTAATAAACTCCTGAGATCCATAAGATTGCAAATAATGATGTTACCTTAAAAATATTTTTTAAAAAAATCGAACCGTTTGCAGTTTAATTTTTATAAATAGTAATTTCTCAGCTAATAAAAACAATTTGTTTTTAAAATATTTTTTAATTGATCTAATTTAAATTTTTGAATAATATTGAGCTAAACTTACCTCTATCACTCACTATCTAAACTTTAGGACGCTAGACAGAAAGACAGATACACAAACTCTTTATTTTATTATTATAAAGGGACCCGAAAAGTCTCGTTTCCATGGCTGATAATGAATGCATACGAGAAAAACAGGTAGAAAAGAAATATGAACTTTTAATGAAATCTATATATAAATAAATAAATAGACTCTTTTTTTTTTTTTACAAAGAATAAAGTGATTTTACTTATTTTTATAATTTGTTCTTCTGTTTTTTATTTTCAAAATCAAAAATTTTTGTCAAAAATTTTTAAAAAACTGCAGATTTTTTTTCTATTGAAAATATTTCATAATAATAATTTTCAAGATAAAAATATTTTTCATTGTATTATAATTAAGTTTAATATGGATTGATGTAATATGCCTTAAATTTTACCTTACTATCCGTTTTTATATCTTTACCACATGTAATCGGTTTTCATCTGAAGTAATTGTCAGAAACACGAATAATTTTATTATGCATCCTCAACATTAGCAAATCCTTGTGTGAAAGATAATTGTTATTAAGATATCATTTCGTACTCCGCAGTTCCGCAGTAATGAGCAATATCTTAAACAATTTGTTGAACAGAATTAATATCTTGCGTTTTGGGTAATCTACAACTGCAGTGCTGCCGAAGAAGACACTGATCATTGTGGGAAGCTTACCTTTGGTGAAATTTCTTCCCTGGCAGAAATGAAATTAAACAAGACCATAAGAACTCCTCCCAACCACTCTTGGTATTTTGCGAAAAAACAGAGAGAATCTTTCAGTCTTAGACCGAGAGCCCATCAAACTGAATTTTCACGCTTCTTGAGTGGCCACACTAGATCCCTTACTTTCAACCGGGGCCAAGAAACTTATCCTGAATGTCATAGGTGCTCGACGCCGACCGGCCTGTGTAGGGGGCAGGAAACTGTCCCTGCATCAGAAAGGTCCTGGGTTCGAATCCCGGGCAAGGTATGGATGTTTCTTTCTCGCTCTGTGTGTTCTATGTCCTTTCTCCTTTGTGTGTGTGAATGCGACCCGCCCTATAAACGGGATTCTGGTTGTGTGAATGGTGTGGCAGAAGTCGAATTCTCGACCATAGATGGCGCCACTGAAAAACAAGAACAATCGCACCCCCTCTGCCTAAACAGGCATACGACAAAAAAAAAATTGGTGCTCGACAGACTTCCAGTCCTTTTTTGGACTTTTTGGAGGTGTTCGGATTCATCTAGACGATTCCGAGATTAGCAACAACAACAACAACTGCAGTAATGGAGTATTTCTGTGTATTCCAGTGTTATTTTTATTTTCATTATAGATGCTAAAGACAAGAATGCTCTCTTGAAGGTCAAATAAGTTAGTTTATTTAAGTTAAACAGTGTATTACTACAATTGTATTTATTATATGTCAATAAATAGTTGCAATATTTCTTTTTCTTTTAAGGTGTGGTGTTCAATATTTTTGATGGTTCCAGTCATGTCATTGGTGCTATGGCTAGTTCATAAAAAAAGTTCCCAGTTCACTGAAATTGAAAGAAATGGAAAAGGAGGACTTTTCTATTACGGGAATTGCTTTTGGTACATGTACGGTGCCATATTGCAACAAGGTAATAATTTCTTTCTTTCTTTCTCTTTTAACTCTTCGACGCAGGTGGGACACCGGTGATCCTTTTATATATTTTTTCTGACACTGCAAAAATATATTAAGAATTTTTTAGTTATGAAAAAAAGTCTAATAGTTACTAAAAAATCTGTTAGATTATCGGAATTATATTTGTGTAAAAATATGAAATCGAAAAGGTATAGTTTCATAACTGTTTTCATTTATATTCAAACATTTAACTATGATTTTATAAATTAAAGCTATTTCAATGATGAATAACTGTTTCTCACATATCTAAACAACTGCAAATAAGTGCAGATTCGAAATATTATTGGAAGTGAGCCACGTTTGGATGATTTAACCCTTAACACAGATAAGGACACTGTTGTTTCATGCTGTATTTCATAACCATAAATCATTAAAATGCAAAAAATAATATTTTTCACATGTTTTGACCTAAATTAATACACAATAATAAAAAAAATCTGAAAAATATGTAACCTTTGAGTCAGAGGGTTAAGTATTTGAAACGCAAGTATGATACTTTTAGAAGATAAAAAAAATAATGAAATCTGCTATGTTCTATAACAGGAATCCAAAATCCTGTGCCCGCAGGCACCGCTGATTGTTTTACGTGTAACTGTTTCTTTACAACCACGAAAAAGAAATATTTTAGTTTTCGACTAAACGCCATGTAAAAATATAAATTCCAAATGTAAGTTATCTTCTCAAAATTATGGTATTCGCTGTCAGACTGGTGCATATTTGGTGCAACTAATGAGATGTTCACGTTTCTGTTCAAGTTGCACCATAGGATCGTGTGTAAGAAATATTTTAATGTGGTTGAACTTAGCCTCCTATTATGATTGCTGAAAATTTGAACGATATTCTGGTTGAAAGCGCTCCAAAATTTCAAATAGTACTTGATGTGAAACTGTTACGTTACTCAGATTATTAATTCTGCTCGAATGAAATTTGTATATATTTAGGTGGCATTCATTTACCAGAAACAATAAGTGCTCGAATCGTAGTCAGTTTCTGGTGGCTGTTTGTGATGATAGTCATGGCTACTTACAGCGGTAACCTCATCGCATTTCTAACATTTCCTGAAGCAGATTGGGTGATAGCTTCATTGCATGACTTGGCATACAAAGAATCTGTTCTAGTCATTGTACAGGAAGGAACTAGTGTACACCAGGATATTGAGGTAAGAATGATGCGCAAGTACTTTTTTTCGAACATTTTTTAAAATAGTGCTTTTATAATATAAAATTTCTAGGAAAGTAGATCTGTTGTAGCTTGTAGCTCTCCTCGTTGTAGAAACAAATTGGCAATAGCAGACATGGAATGGGTCAGTTCCACCCAGGGCTAAAGAGAATAGAAGGGCTAGTTCACTCAGCTCTTAGAGCTGAACCTACGATTTCCCTCCTCATGACGTCACTGTGTCCACAGATCTCGGAGATCGCAAGCAAAGATATTATGATAACTTTTCATCTTTCTCTTTGTAAAAATAAGTTTGACTTTTTCTGGTTATAAGCTTTCAAACTTTACGTAATTAACACATTATTTCCGTTCATAAACATAGTTTAAAAAAACTTTCTTGGCCATTATGTTAAAAAAAATACCATTTAAAACTTACAAAAATGTTTTACTAGTTGGCGAAAATGACACTATAAATACTTTATTTTAAAAAGTTCAGTTTTAACTTTAATTATTAAGAAAAATGAAAGCATCTATCGACACTATTTTTATCTACATATTCTTTTATAACAATAAGTTGAGTTAAATTTAGAATCCCTGATTTTAAAATATGCCGTTAATAGCAATTTGTTCATACTTAATAATTAGGAAACATCAACCTTTAAACGCTAATTACTGAAACAAAATAAAAAATTAGGTTCATAATGACATTAGAAATTTTACAATTGTTTATCGATATTTAAATTTACGATGATATAATTTATAGATATTTAAATTTAAGAGAATATAATTTTTAAAAAAAAATCATAAATATTTAGAATAACTACATTAAAAAATATGTTATGAAATTAGGAGAATTTCAACTATATACTATATATTTTATTTATACTTTTTACTTACATTTTAATTTTCTTTGACTTTATCTATTTTTTAATTCTTTTCACCTGCCTTTCTTTATGAAGTAACGAGGCGGTTTCTATTTAGATAATGAATTTTTATAAAAGTTCTTTACGACAGAATAAACGTATTGCTGTTTTATATTAACTGTGTCATTTCGGAATCCATTCTTTACATAGTTGTTCATTTACTTTAGGGAACACGCGAAAAATTATACTTTTTCCTTTTGTTTTTATATCAGAATTTTTGCAAGTTGCAATCGCGCAAACTGGCATTTCGATAATAGTTTTAAATTCTTGTAAATTCACTGCAAAAACTGAGGAAAGTCATTATAGAAAATAACAAATGTCTTAGAATATCTCGCAAAAAGAAATGATCCAATATTAGTTAGAGCTAGTAAGGCCAAACGCTCCGTTCTTGAAGTAAAAGTGCGAGCTTTGCGCCAAAGTGACGTCACTAGAGAAAATCGGAGGTTTGGTGCGGCGAGAGCTACTTCAAAGGAGTGAACCAGCCCTTCTATTCTCTTTAGCCCTGAGTTCCACCACACCTAGTTTTAACAGTTCTCTCTAAATTCCTTCAACTTTTGAAAAGTAAATAATCGTTTCACTGTCGACTTTTCGTACGATCTAGTTCATAATTTTAACTTGACGTCATTATTCTTTATTTAATGATAAATCCTTATCAATATTCAAATTATTCTATCAGAGAAATGAACTTCTGTAAAGAAAAGTTCAAATCTTATAAAATGAAAAAAAAATACAATTCAAGATTTCAACAGACTTAGAGAATATTTTTATTATATCTGGTTTAATCGCTCTGCTTAAAATGTACCAATCAAAGACACGATTTATAAATGTAGATATTATAAGAATTTTTATTTTGATGAAAAAAGTTGCAATAAAAATGCTGTCGATGCAGAATTGGAAAGTGTTTTTTATTAAAATAAGAGATTCATATTTAAAACATTTTAATTCAACACAAAATCGTTTGCATATAACAAAAAAGGAAGGATGGAGTACTTACATTCTTTGACATAAAACTGTTTTTTTTTTCCTTCTGTTTTTGAACTGTATCGTCAGAACATCTTGGATCGAGCTCTAGAAATTTCAAAGTCAGGGAACTGACCCACCCCATTTAACATTTCTAACAGAACGAGTTTCCCCGATGTCTAGATGCAAAAGAAACTTTTCAAACCAATATGACGACCTGTACTTGGAAATTTATCAATTGTTTACCGATGCTCTCTCTTTCACTACATCAGAAAATAAGGTCAGAAGATAAATGTATATCATAAGTATAGCAGAAGATTAAAATATCACATTATATTTTGGCAAGTTAAAAAAACGATACAAAAGAAAAAACAAATTACGAACCATTAAGCTTTCATTGAATAATAAATGAACGTTTTATGCTGATAGACAACATGTCTTCAACAAGGAAATAGCCATATTTCTATAATGTCAAAAGGCTGACTCTGTATGCATAATATGTTTATCCTCAAGGTTTGCCAATTACTCGTATAACAGAATAAACTGAACAAGAACCATGTTTGAATATTATAATGTTTATTTTAAAAGCATTAATCACATCTTGAGAAAGGTATGTATATCTATATTATTTATATTATATAAAAAAAGATGATTCTCAACGAAACTTTTGATTAGAATTGAACGCACAGCAGTGTTTGCTCGCATGTTTGACAAAAATAACGATGTTTGTTTCATTATTAAAGGATTTCACTACTCTTACCTTTTTGAAAAATTTAGGTGCATATCTTCGAAATTTTTAAATTGATTTTTTGGTTTAATTAAATATGCAGTTGCATAAGTCAAATCATTTCTCACGAGCTAAGTTCTTGAGGTGTTTTACGATGTGCTAACCTCTAAGATTAATAAATATTAGTTTTAAATCTTCCTTGAATATTTTTTAAAAATATTTTTTGCCTTTGTACTGGTAGACATCAGAAATTTAATATCAAAACTAAACTAAATACTGTCTAGCAACCACAAGATGAGCTATCGTCTTCGCTCAAACTTACTTGGGCCTCATTCTGTGATTGTCAGACAGTACATCACTTTTTATTTGTCAATTATTATATTTTTGCAGTTTCAGCCTCGGAGGCTCGGGGGATAAAAAACTCGCCTTCTTATGAGGTGAAATGAATTGCACCGACCACATTGCTGACACAAAATGCACTCACAAGGGAAACTAGGGAAGTGTGACTCACCAATTTTGAAATAAACTAGTGGGATGTATGCCTTATGAGGAATAATTTTAGGGGGCAACATTCGTTTCGGCCCATAGAAGGTCCTGTGAGAGATAAAAAATAATTCAATATATAGAAAAATCGGTATGCAGACTTCAATGCAGACTGTTAGTTATTGTAATTGTCTCATACTCCAATTAATTTTGTGGTACTTTCACGTGCTATATAATGCATATTTATTGTCAAAATTGATTTCGAAAATTTTATATGTCTGCAATTTTTCAGAAAAACCTGTTAGGTTAATTTAAAAAAAAAATTTGACATAAATTTTTTAAAATTATTTTTTTTAAGAAATTTTCCAAATTAATTGGAGTATGTAATTGCAAAGCAATTAATTAATTAATAATTATTTAATAATTAATTAATAATTAATTAATAATCAGTTAATTTGCTAATTAATTTATTATTTTGTTAATTAATTAACCAATCAATTACAAATTAATTGGAGTATGAGACAATTACAATAACTAACAGTCTGCATTGAAGTAATAAAATACCGATTTTTCTATATATTTAATTATTTTTTATCTCTCACAAGACCTTCTATGGGCCGAAACGAATGTTGCCCCCTAAAATTATTCGTCATAAGGCATACATCCCACTAGTTTATTTCAAAATTGGTGAGTCACACTTCCCTAGTTTCCCTTGTGTAGATCATGGGTTAGAGTCCTCGTGCCGGTCAGGATAACCGTGATAGGTTTTCGTGGTTTTCTTCTCCATATAACACAGTAGTCCTTCACGAAAGCAATCTCTCCCAATACTTGATCTATGAGTTTCCTTGTCATCTGGAATGGGTTCAAAATTACGAGGCTGCGGAATTGAGCATTGATTGCTGTAAACTCAAAATTGGGTCGGATATTCGACGTTGATTAAGTGAAGTAGGTTAATAGTATTTAATTTTTCGGTGTAGAAATGAAAATTTGTCCAAACAATGTTGGAAGGAAGAGCTATCAGTCACCAAACGAATTATGTAGAGATTGTAATCCTTTCTAAATGTAGGGTAATCGATTTACGGTAAAAATTAATTGTGAAAACAAGATATGTACTATAATTAAGCACCAATAATTGTGAATGATACATCGATCAATAATAATTGCAAGTTTGGTACTGACTATGCCAATTAGATATCAACTACTGATAAAAAATATTTTGATGTAAAATCTTGATGGAGTCGCAGTAACCAATAAAAATCGTTGAAACGTTATGATGTTGAAGGGGCGTTTCTTTTCCAACCAAAAGAGATGAGGAGGAGTTAGAAAACAAGTTCAGGCTTATCATTCACACACATAAGTGAAGCGAAGCCAACCGTGAAAGAAGTTTGTTTTTCATTGATGAAGATGCTACAAATCCAAACCAAATAGAATAAATACCTTCGAAATACAAATGCCTGAAGCATCAAAGAGAATTGGACGAAGCGTAACCATGACGAAATAAAATAACACTCAAAATAACTTGTGGTAATGTTTAATGGGTTTACTGCAAATATAGGTTAATTAATTAAAAGAGACAATTTAAGTTATGGAATCAGATCCAGAAAGAGATTCTTTTTGAATAAACGTACCTTTCTCGCGAATTTTTCGAATTTCTGACTTTCAAAAAGGGGAGGAGCCGCAAAATCGAAAATGATGACCGAATAATTTCGGGGAATGGTCGAAAACGTGAGTCACTTAATATTACCTAACTTTATATGTTATATATTTATTACGTACTTGAGTTTTTTGCAATACTATCTCTAGAGCAAATTCTGCCTGAATCAAACTTACGTGATTTTAAAGTAGCTTTTCGAAAATTCTTTCCGAAAAATCTATAACTGTTATGTATATAATCTATAATTCTATGATCATAATTAACCATTATTATGTATAAATTTTTTTTTGCATGACTTTGAACATTTTAATTTAAATGTTAAAATTTGCATGAACGCAGTCGAATAGCTCTAGAGATTTAAAATACGGAGTCTTAAAAGAATAAAAAAATACGAGTGATAAAAATTTTAACCATCATTATTAAATTAAAATAATTAATAATTATAAAAATTATTTTTTACATGAAATTTAGATGCAAGAGATTTTTTTTAAAATTTATGTTAACCTTTTTATTAAAGCCATAATACCGACATCGCAAAAATTCTACACATTTTGAATATCAGAAAATCCATTATAATCATTTTCAGAAAGCAATTTTATTGAGAGATTATATTTTGCGTATGTCACGAGCTTCTCGCAACGTAGTGATTCACTTTTAAAGTAAAGCAAAAATTCCCGATACAGCTCATTAAAGAATCATGGAGTTTACAGTTTTATATGGTTGTAACAAACAGCGTGATGACGGCCACCACCTTTAATTCTCAGACAAGTCAGTACTCATCGACATGAAGCTGAGGCTCTGAAAGTTGAAGTTGAGCTCTGGAAGCTCTTTAAAAGACTTAAGAGCAATTTGTTTCCTCAGTTATTAAATGTTTTCGTAATCTAAACCTATTCAAATCATTTAAAAAAATTTTCTATTATTATTCGTGGCACTATATAATGTAAAAAATTTCAGATCAAATTACGACAAAAATAGCCGTACTCAGGGGGCCACTACTTTTTATCGTAAAATTCATTTCCACAGTAAATTATTGCAGAGCAAAAAAATCTGCTATACCATAATTTTTATATACAGTGATATTTACTGTAAAATCACAATCACTCGGTCTTCGTAATTACTGTAAAAGTAACTGTATAAAAGTTTACGGTAAAAATGGATCTTATGGAGGCTGCACTCAGGATGCCAATACTTTTTACCGTAATTTGGCCCGGATTTCTTTTTATAGCATAGCCTCACACAGCTAATCGCATCTATTACTGTTAAAATTGCGGTATAAGATTTTATGGCATAAAATTTTACGGTAAAAATGGATATTACGGTAGATTGGATTTTATGGATGCTGCAATCACGGAGCCAGTACTTTATACCGTAATTTGATCCTTAATTTTTTTACAGTGTAGCCTAGAGCAGGCCAGACGTTTTAACGAATTTTCTGAAGTCTATCAGATACATGCTGTATCCAATTAGTCCCTTTTAATATTCTCAAATCTATCTGAGTGAAGTTTTACCCTGTTTTCTTATGAGATTAAAGGCTTCGTGGGATTTTTATTATCAGATCTTAAAAAGTGCGCAAGTTACCTTTATAATCATTTCGCCACCGTATTATGCCTGGTTGCTTATATCTGTTACAAAGAATTAATGTCTTATTCATACATGGCTCCACTGAAAAATAAGAGACGCACACTCTGCCTGAAAATCACTCGGATTTTCATACTAGGCTTTCTGTCATTGGCAAGTGGCATTATTAATGACAACAACAACAAAGAATTTATTGTAAAGAATTCGCCAGATGTTATTTCCTTAGATATCACTGAATCACATTCTTTCATTTGAGCATTATGGAAACTATATTTTTAAATAAAACAAAATACAACAGTCTGAGTAAAGTTTTTTTCGAAACATACTACGCTAATTATATATTTTTAAAAAATTCAGCAGCTGTAAGACAGCATTTTAGTTACGAAAACGTATAGTTTTTTACCTCTTGAAAGTGGAAAAAAAAAGAAACGTCGAAGAAACTTTTTTTAATTGTTGCCATCATTCAAATGCTTTCCAATATTTCTTTCAGTGTTTTAATATTCACTACATTCTTTTTTCAAACAGGAAAATCCAATGCAGTATTTGCGAACTTTGAAAGATCGATTTGATCGTCAAAGAAATGCAATTCTGGTAAAAAATATCACATCAATAATTTCTTCCGTAAAAGCTGGTAAAGCAGCCTATGTTGACGATTTCTATGTATTATCAGATCTGATAAAAGATGACTACAAGGAAACGGGAAGTTGTCATCTTTCTTTGGCGCCAAACACTTTTTTGGAAATTTATTTGGCCATAGCAGCAAGAAAAGGAAGTCCATACATGAAAGAAATCAATACTTTGTGAGTATAAAAATACTTCTTCAGTATCGATTTCTTCTTTATATGTAAAAATATCTTTTCATTGTTTGTAAACAAGAAGGCGCGTCTATCTCTTCTATGATGCTAACTTTTTCTTATGGTTATTGGATTAGGGTGGGTTGGAAAACAATTTTATTTTTTTCCTATATAGTTTTGAAAGTGGTATGGTTAGAGAAAAGAAAAATGATGCCAAACTATAATGGGTTTTTATTTCCTTGCTTTTTTTCTCTCCACTGCTTTTGAAGAAAATCTAAATGTAGTTATTTTTTATAAATTTATAACACAACAAAACAGCTGTGCTATCGAAGCGCCATAGTTTAACAAAGGGTAGAGAATGGTTTCACGAACACAGAAAGATTATATCAGCGATGTTTTTTACTAAATAATTATCAGTTTCTGCCACATTATTGTACCATTTTTTTAGATTACCATTTTTTGTTTATTTTACCGAATATATCAGTTTTTAGCAGCGATGGCTCAGGGGATAGAGCGTTCGCCTTCCAATAAGGTGAACCGAGATCGGATCCCTGGATGGCTGGTCGATACGAATTCGTATCCGGCTTGCACCGACCACAGTGCTGACCTTAAGTATCCTCAGTGGTAAACGGATCATGGGTTGGATTCCTTAGCCGTCAGGCTAACCGTAGGAGGTTCTCGTAGTCTCCCTCTCTATGTAACGCAAATACCTGTTAGTTCCATCAAAAAGCCTTCTACGAAGGCAAATTTCTCCCAACACTTGATCCAGGAGTTCCCTTGTCTTCTGGATTGGGTTTAAAATTACAATGCTACGGAGGTGAAAATTAGTAGTCGTAAACCCGAAAATTGGGTCGACTGTTCAACGACGGTTATTAAAAAAATATGTCAGTTTTAAAATCATTAAGGAGCCGTTAAAAATGGTCAAACGGTCTGTTGGTCAAAAATTGATATATGGGGCATCATTTAATCTCAGAAGAGTGGCATTTAATATTTTTCGTTACTATATCGACCGTTTGTTAATCCATCTAGTTTACCAAAGGATACCTTTACATAGGATTGTTAAAATTAAACGTACTCAGAAGCTCTTTAGTTCTTGATCTGCTGAACAAATCCCAATAAAACTTCATGGATATGTTATTTAGATCATGAGGCATAGGTTACAAAGAAAAAATAGCAGCAACTTCCCATCAGGCGGCTCTAAAACGCAATGAGAAGAAAGATTACGCTTAAAATTACAAGAATAACATGTTTTATTTATTCACACACCTGCGTGTTCTGTGTGCATATCTTAAAAGTCAATAATAATCTTAAGGTTGCATAAATGCATCGTTTGCATATTGGTTAAGTAGTATAGCGCCATCTATTGGCAAATTATTTTTTCATTGGTAATCTTAGCCCTATAATCTACATGACATATTTTTAAAGTTATATTTAGATCCTTTCTATAGAATCCAGAACTAGAAGCTAATGAGTAATGTCGATTTAATTTTAAACCTCCATGGTTATAATAATTCTTAATGTTGCGCCATTTGCTATTTGACGAGCACTATTTAATTAGTGAGTGCCATTTAATATTTTCCAATACTATGATGACCGATTTTTTTTCAGCTTAAGAATTTGAAAATTATGAGTATAGTGATTGAATAAGTGAAAGAGAAGGAGTGCGTAAGTTTCTGGATAGAAAGGAATCAAAATTAAGAATAAGCAAATCACATTCTAAACAGCAAAATTAATGAAGAAATGTTACAACATAATTCCTTTAGGAGAAAAGTAAAAAATAATCATACCATTTTTAACGCCAATGATACTAAATTATTTTGGTAATAAGTACTATTTTAAATAAAACAAAAAGTAATCGATATATTAAAAGACTAAACTGATCGAGAGATGGTACTAATTCGTCTATTAAAGTAAATTTGTGTGCTTGTCAATTAAGTAATCCTTGATTGGAAAAACCATTGAGTGAACGAATCGGTTTGTTATTCAATAATTAAAAAAATATTGACGTTTAATTTATGGTATGACAAGTACTCAGCATGATCGGAAATTTTTTTCTCTATTCTTTTAATTTTTGAAGGGAAAAACGAAACTATATTTAATTGTTTTCCATTTTGTTCCAGTTTGCGCCACTTATGGCTTGGAGGTTTCATGCAACACTGGTCTGAAAGGTTTTCAGAAATGAATATACACGAGTGCTTCGCTGTCACAACATTTGAGAGAGGAAGAAGAAAAGACTTTACATTGTTCGATCTCTTCGGTGCTTTCATGATGCTGGCTTTAGGTTTAGTTATTTCCTCTGCCATGTTATGTTTCGAACGCATTTGGCGATATTTGGTGAAAGTCATAAAACAGAGAAGACCTAATTACAGATATTCGAATTCATTCTTCCATAAGACTGTCATATTGGCCATTAGAAAAATTGATTGATTGATTATAATGAGAAAAAATAATTGTTTTAATTTCTTTTAAAGTGATGCCACTTTAAATCAAACGTGGGTTCGCTATAAGCTGGTTGTATATTTATCCTGTTTAATTATCAGGGTAAAATTACTCATTAAAATCCTGAATCTGTATTCGTCATAAACGGAGAAAAAAGTTCTTGTAAAATTAATTAACTGTTCGGTAATGACATTTTTGGTAAAAGAAACCATAACTTTGCTTAATAAAATTAAAATATACGATATTTAAATCATTCATTTGGTAATTTTTCCATTCATATGGTAACGGTTTACCGGAAAATCTGATTTTCAAAATTTTAGTCCGTATTACCAAACATTAAGTTAAAAATACGAAACTGAAATGTAAATTAAAACAAATAAATGGTTTTTAAGTCATTTTCTAAGATATTATAACAATTCCCACCATATTTTAGTAGTTATAACTGTACTTTCTTTTCTCAGTGTAGGCATGTCTGCATTAAAAACAAGATGTTAATCATTGCCAGGGCTAGGCCCCACTGTTTTCGACGAATTTCAACCGTACAATCTTGCTGAAACCTGCATGCTAATTCAAAGATATAATTTAAAATTTTTTTGTTTAAAAATATATGTTTTAAAATTTTGTAATATATATTTTCAAATTAAATCTCAAAATTAATATATATTTTAAAATTAAATCTCAAAATTAATATATATTTTAAAATTAAATCACTAATCCCAATAAACTATAAATAACCCATATAATGTTCTTTAATAACGATTACATAAAAGGAAAGAACCGTGATGGCTCAAGAGATAGAACGTTTGGCTTCCAATCAGGTGAACCGGGTTCGAATTCCAGCGATGACTGATTGATACGAATTCCGCATCCAGCTTGGCACTAGGATAGGATGGAAGTCGCCGTTGAGGTCCTAGTAGTCCAGGTATACTGTCTCGAAGCTGTTCTAGAGGTTTTGTAAAAGTTTGAAGTTCATCAAGCAATGCATCTAAAGCATTTTCATTACATAAAAAGAACGCATGACAAGTGACCGATTCTTTCCATTGATATCAAGTATGAGATGAAAATATAGAATTTCTTGCACAAGTATCAAAGTAAGTTACATAACTAAAGTCCTCTTTGAGGTTTGAGTTCTTTAAGCGACTCTATTCATTGTTTTATTATTGGACATTTATTTTCGAAACAGCATAATGAAAAAATATTATTTTAATAAAGAATGGTTTAAATACTTATATCAATTACTTGACTTGTAATAAAATAAAGAAGTGTGTGTTAAAAACAATTTCTGTCGAACAGAGCTACACCATTTGTAAATACTTTTTTTTGCATGTAATTTAAATACCAAAGATCAATGAATTTTACTTTTTAAGTAAGCAGTTTAATTTATTTAAGTGTATTTAACAATGCCGCTTTAAAAAAAAGGGAGGAAATTGGGCGGAATTTTAAGTTAAATATCAAAAGTGAACCAAGTGTGACATCACAATAGTAGTTTCATAGCCGACTAAAACGTTTTATTGATCCATTTTGCCGGCATTGCATATTTTAAAAACTTTTCCCCTTACATTTGTTCTACACCTTATTTGTAACAATATTTATAAAGGCAAAAAAAAAAAAAAAAAACATTTTAATTACACGTAATTAAAATGCTCTTTAGTTAATATTTCCATAAAATTTTAATATTTTTATAATCCTCCCTATAGAAATAAAAAGTTCAACATTAATCATTCATTCACGTAGAGAATTTAACTTAAGTACAGATACTTAAAAAAAAAAAAACAAAAAAAAACGGAAGACATAGAAATGCAATGTTCGCTGCATTCCATTTCGGCTTTACTCAATTTTATGTTTAGTTATAAAATTTATCAACAGATGGTGCTGTTGACTGATAATAACTATAAGACAATGTTTTCTGATGAATGTCGGGCTGAAATATGTCAATAGGCATTTCTTAATTTTGTTTTAACATTGGTACATAACTTTCTTGTTGCAAATATTGGTAATTTTGAAAACAACGTTTTATTGTTTCAAATAGTTATTACAGCCATTTGTTGAAAAATTTTGAAACTAAGTTAAAACAATAATAATTGTACTTTAATGCGCCATTCTTTTCTCGTTAATTTGGGATTTCCGGATTATATATATAAACATATATATATANCCCTCAGCTATATAAATTAAGAATGTAATCTTAACATTTTTTCTTAAATCAACAGTATAAAAAAAGCTTACTTTTCATTTCAGAAATATTTTCCTATTTCATAATAATTAATTTGCATTTAAAATTTATTATCATTATAATTTTTTTGAATTACAATTTTAAAAATTTGGGGCTGATTCAATTTGTATATGAAGGCCGAAATTTAATGCTTTACTTTTAAAAAGAAATTTCGCCGATAAAGCTTTCGTATTTTTACTTTTATAAAGAGTCTAAAAGCAAAGTTGAAGAATAACTTTATACGCATAATGAAATGTGACTCCAAAGCTTATTTAAGCTCAATTTATGGAAAATAAATCTTTTCAGATGAAAAATGCAACACAATGAATGAGAAAGCTTTTAATAAGAAATTCAAAGTATAAAGAAATGAATACAAAAATGTTCGCTGCTATTTTAAAATTTCAATAGTTCAGGAAACGCTCATTTTCTTGGATTTACAGTTCATTTATATTCAAATACTTATTTGCTAAAAAAATGAATAAAAAAATTGAGGCTTGTATATATTTTAATAACTATTCATCTAAAAGAAAATCTGCTTTTCATAATTTGCATTCCAATCCTATTTTAAGTCATGGGCTAAAGGAAACCCGCATTTTAAAAGAAAAATGTTTGAGTGAAAATAACGATTTTTAGAAATAAAAATATACATTCATTATATACTTATTTACGCTATTAAATTGATCTGTTTTTTGAAGGAATTTTATTTGTAAATGATCAGAAAGAAAGATGAAAAATGAATAACTTTTTGAGAGATGTTTAAGAATTTTTAAATTTTTGGAGAGAGATTCCTGTTCTTTTCAAAAGAAAACTTTGTTAACAAGAATAAGATTTAAGAAAAAATTGTACGAAACGTTAGAATAAATATTTTTTTACGTACAAAACATGCAAATAGAATCGTAATACTTTAATTTCTGATATTATTATTGGACTATAATATTGGCAAACAAAAACTTCTAGCATTGTTTACCGTACATGTTCATCCATAAATATTGCTAAGAATCTTGTCAACAGAAAAGACGGATACAGATTTTATTTATAAGAACAGCAGTTATTATAAAGATTTTAATTGTAAAGGAAAGGAAAATCCTTGAAAGTAATGTTATTAAAAAAATTTCGCGGTGCAAATTACTTCCTTAAGTACATGTAATACAAAGAACTTTAATAATTGTTTAGAAATTTTGGAAAAAGTTGATCTTAAATAACTTGGTTTTGGATGATTTTAACCTCCTCATTGCTTCACTGTTTAATCGATAGTGATTTGCCAAAATTTGAAAAGATTAGTTATCTTCTTTTTTATGTAAATATTTATTTGCGACCCTTAACTTTCGTAGTCTTACTGTCTGCCTCATATATACAGACAGTCCCAAGACTCATGGTACATACGTTAGGGAATGATAGAAGATAACTAAACAAAAAAAAAATCCCCATACAATCCATGGTTCGAACATTGGCCACCAGAATAATAGTAATATTTGTATACCAAGGTTCGAACTCAAGTTGTAACACACTAGTCTTCTGAGCCTGGACTTTTTCTTCTGGGGTCGTATGAATAGCCTCATCTACGACGATTGTCCCACAGGTTTTGCTGAAGATCTTGCTGTCCGGATATCCGTAATCGCTGACACCCATAAGATAGATGCCTGGTGTTGTTTATTTCTGCCAATGTACGACGGTGTAAAGCTTACGGTAATGTTGGCGGCCTCAATTTTGAGCAATTTCTGTGATGGGGGACTTGGTGTTGTTTAATTTCATTTTGTTCAATAAGATGTTTTTCTTCATTTTATCGGGTTCTTTTTATTTCATCTCTATCTGTCTTGTTTACCGCCATTTCGTGACACAACATGTTTCGTGCTCTAGCGCTTTAGGACTTGCGTTCCGACCATGGGGTGTGTAAAGACTTTTAAATTTTCTCATAAAGACGAGTCGCCTGCATCTTAAATTAATTTATTCAAAGCTATAGATGTACAAAACAGACATGATTGACACATCACCGACAAATACTAACATAGACAGAACATTTATCGAAAACCGCCATCCATCTTTTTTAATCTCGACTGCGACTTCTCTTCAGGAAAAAAAAGAAATCTGAAAGAAAGGTTTTTGTGCCATATAGTGGCCAGTTTCATACAAGTGTATGGTGATTTGTGCTTGCCTAGTTGTTTTCGATCACCCTGTAACTCTCTGTACATTATTAATTTGAGATTAATATAGATTATAATGTGAGATTACTAGAAAATACACTATGCAACAAAGTTATTTTTTCCATTTTGTTTTCGGTTTTCAATATATTATTGGTTGCATGGAAACTATTGTAACCTTAGAATCCTAATTTTAGACTATGTTATACCATATTCCTTTTATAAAATATCTCATGAGTATAACAGAATAAAAAAAAATTCCGTAAGTACTTCATGGAATGTCAAACTTGTTGTAAAAGCAATAGCCTTGTGCTCTTCACAGCCAAGAAAATTATTAGAGTTGGAAAAATTTATTCTCATACAGTAGATTTTTTTGAACTTCGTTTGAAATTATTTCGCTTTCATAGACTTTTTTGTTGTAAAGAATATCTTCATATATTACATTACATGAGATAAGAATTTTTTTTGGCTATTTTAAAACTTTATGGTTCATTGCTGACATTGAATGTTGAAAATTAGGCTTCCCCATTATCACGATAAGGTGTACTAATACTCATTCAATAAGTATTTGGTATATATTTTTTTAGACGATAATTATTAATAAGCAAAATTCTGATCCCAGAAAACAATATAAAAAAACTGTTTAATTTCAAAGTAATAATACATAAAACCATCCAATTTATTTAAAACCCCGGCCAAGAATGATATTTGAAAGAAACCATTTAATGTTTTCATTTATACTTTTGGAATATTTTAATAACTTCATCATTTATGATTATATTGATGAAAATAGGGAAAACCACTCGTTCACTTCCGCTATCAATCTCATTTTAATAGAAGAAGTAAATAATTAATTTCCTATTGTAGTGAAGATATGCTGTTTTTTTTTCAATAATCTGCAGAAATGAAAGAAAAAAGGGTGTGAGAAAAAAATGAAAGTAAATCGTAAATTTGAAAATATTGGGAAAGGACATAGTTCAGGGATCTGCAGATAGTTAAAATCAATAATGTAATGTAATTTTATCTAGTATATTGTACTCCAATAATTGTGCATTAAAATTGTAAATCATATTTCCGAACACTTTATTCAGAAAATGTGAGGCTCCAATTGGATACCTGTAAGTGACGTCATCGTAGATAAATCGTATCATTTGTTGATTCAAAAGCCAATCAGGTTCGACAGAGACGTGTGACGTAGTTACAGTTATCCAATTAAATCTGTTTTAAATCACATGGTTAGGCATAATTACGTTTTCTCGAGTTGCAAGTACCCAATTTTAATAACAAGGAGAATAAACGCCATCTCTTTAATAAGTTAGTTATAAATATGAGATTGTTTAAGCAAAGCTAATAGTGATGCTTACTTTATATGGTATTAGGTAAACCAAAGTGAAAGTGTTTCCGATACTACGCCCCTCAGCTAGATCAGGCAAAAAAAAATCTTTTGATAGATATTATAAATAAAGATTCATGCTAGGTAATGATGGTCGTAGTGTGCATGGTGTGTTCAACAGCAGAGAAGTAAATAGTACAAGAAACAATATGTCTGCACAGTTTCGTAACAGTGCAAATTATTTTATTCCTGAAATAACAGGCTTTTACAAAACTGCAACTGAAGCGTTTATTTTCCATTTTAAAACTTCATATTCAAAAACATACTAACATCAAGTAAAATACATGACTTTTTTTTGTTTACTTTTTCTGATGGTTGAAATGATTAACATTCTCGCTTTATTCTCTCAGACCTACAATACAATTAAGGCAACCACATTTTAATACCAGTAGTATAGAAATACAGAAAGACATCAATTGAATTTCAGCAATTTTAATATCAAACTTTGGTCATTAAATTATTTAATTCAACCAGTTTGAAACTCCATTTTTTTAGTTTCTTCCTCAAGTTTTTTTGCCTTAAAGTTGTGCATAAAACTGGATTATTTTTAAATTTTCTCTGATATTCTTTTAACTAACAGTTAGTTATTTAATTATTCTGGGAAACAGCCTAAAACTTTATTTTTTATGAAAACTATTTTTTATCGATATAGTCTTCACTTCAATGTTGACCATTAAATTATTTTATCCAACAGTTAAGAATTATTCAATATTTTAATTTTTTCCCAGAGAGATTTTACTCTTAGGTTTATCATTAAATTAACCCATTTAATAGTTCTCAAAATTTTATTTTTAAAAAATTCGTTTATGCATTCTTGTTGTTTCTAAATTTAATTTATTTTACAATTTAATTACGTAATATAAATACTAAAAAAAAGAACGTTCCATTTTGTATTCGACTATAAGGTTTTAACAATTAATAAATCGAAATAAGTTATTAGTTTTCTTAATAATTAGCTAAAAACATACTTAAAAAAATTAAAATTTTATTAAAATACAATTTTGTATTACGGGTCTTTAGTCTTTTTTTTAATTTTTGTTAAGGGTTTAGTTGTTTCATTCTGTGTTTTGCCTAAAATAAGTAAAATGTGAAAACAAGATAATGAAATTACACAAAAGTATTTTTTCCTCACAAAATTATAGTTTATGAATCCAATAAGAGTTCGATTTGGAACGAGTTTTGAAATAGTATTTTTTACAAAAATCTTTCATTAACAACTATCGGAAAATATTGAGTATTTTTAAATTGTTTTTTCGTTTAATTTCTTTCAAGTAACAATAAAAAAGTATCTTCATTTATTATTTTCCTGCAACTAGAAAAACTCATAGTTAACTATTAAAATTCTTATAATGTTATATTATCGTTATCAATGTAATTCTCGAATTTATTAGTCAATTTATATATTTATTCTATATTCATATAGTTAAAATATGTACAATAAATCTTTTGATTTACAATAGTAAAATCAAATTTAATGAATTGAGTTAGCAAAGATAAGTCAATTTAACGATTTAAATGTTTTATTCCGTTTTAGTTCATTTGAATTTTGAAATTAACTATATCAATAGTTTATTTACTGGAACTGAAATAATTGAAGTCTTTCTGTCTCAATAGGATAATTAAACTACACAATTCAAACATCATTTTGGCACCATTCAGGTGGGCAAATAAGTACAAAATTCCTGATGCAGTATATTTATGTATATATGTACAATAGAATTACAGAACTTTTATTAGTTTCGTAATAACACTGCAAGTAGAGAAAAAACTTATATTTTCAAAATTTACAAGACATACGAATCACGTGATTGTTTGGAAAGCCTTAAGGTACTCGTAGCAACTGAAAATTTCTTTGGAATTCAGCGAAGGAGTTTGCGCATCGATTTCTGCTGTTTACTCAAAATCTCATTCAAGTAAAAAGTAATTATCTCATTTAAAATACCTGCAGTGTTACTACGCATAGTTACAAAAACTTACAAATAATATTTGGAAATCTTCATAAGATATATAATTGCAAAGAATGTTTTCTTATTTTTAAAATTAACTATAATAAATTTAAAAAGGAGTTATACTTGCTGAATATTTAATACTGATTACTAGAAAATATTTACAGCTTTAATTTAATTTAAAAGAATAATTAATAAAAAAAAATGAAGTTGTTGCTTGAAATAATAATAAAACCTTTGAATACAGTATAGATTTGAATATGATTTAGTATTCTAACAGTGCATGTTTTCTCTTTATAATTATAAGATTTTTACAATTAGAATATCTTATCTACAATTAATATTAGTATTCACATGTATTAATTTTGACATAATGGTTAAAAAAACATTTTTCTACAGAGTTAAACCTTCCAATAATCAAAATAATAAAACGTTTGACTTTTTATAAATATTTTCTTAATGCAAATTGTTTTTATAGTTTATTTAGCTGTTTAATAGAACGAGTTTAAATTATATATCAGTAATAATAACAATAAAAATTTAATTTTGTATACATCTTAAGGAAGTAAACTTTAAATTCACAAGATTTTGGAAATAAGCTTAAAAATATTTAGAAACAGAAGGACAAATAATTGTAAATGTAAAGAACAAAACCAGCACTATTAAGTGAGTTATAGTCCTATACGGAGATGCAAGCTGCGCCTAAAGAAGTAAAGAGTGGTGACACAAATGATTTAATTTGAACTTTGTGAATTATTTGAACTTATGAACACAAATGATTTAATTTGAATCCTGGTTAAATAACACATTCGTAACTATCAAAATATGTTTAAATGACACAGAATATACGTTTAGCTTTAAGTCTATGCGATAGAAACATTAAACATAAATTGTAAAAATTAGATTTTAACTACAAATTTATCATCACCTCTTAGTCGCAGTTTGCTCCTTGGCATTTGACAGACATTGTTTTAAATAAAGCATACAGATAAAGTATTTCAAAGCATTGTTTGTCTTAAAGTGATTACAACAAAGTTTCAAATAATAAACAAAACAATATTAATCTGTTAGCTACCAATAAATTTTTTACAATTTTGTAACTGTCTATGAACATCATCATAATTTGAAAAGAAAAATACATACAATTTGGAAAAAGAACTGAAAGTATCAAAAAGTTTTTAACACGAGTATCAAGTTCCCAACAGTTTCATTTGCGCAGATATCGCTGCATTTCCAATTATTTCAGTTGCTACAAAAACTATTGTACCTTAGGCCATAAAATTAGATACTTTCAGCTCTTTTTTGTTTACGCCATGTGATTTCTGATAATTATTTTTTCCAAAAGATTACATTACAATTCATTATTTCAATTTTGATTTTTGCCCAGTTTAGAAAAAAAAATTTACGATAGTTTTCAATCAGAATTCACATTTTCAATTTGTAAAAAGTTACATAAATATATAAAAACTGAGCTTAAAAAATTTCACAGAATGCACAATAATCAGAACATCATTTTTCAGATTATCTACTATTTTTCATGATGGATAATTATATAAAAAATTGATAAAACCGTTTTAAATACTAATCATATTAATAATCATAATGTGATGATCCACTAATGATTATCAGCTCAATACTTTGACATAACTGGTAAAAAATGTATTACATCAAGGACCACAATAGAAGACAAACAAATTACTAAATGGCCTATTTATTACATTGCTTGTTCAAAGAAAACTACAACAAAGTTTTTTAAAAAAGTAAGAAAAATATTCGAAAGATGTTAATTTTGTTTCTTTGGCACATGTAAATGCCATAAAATCTAAGAATTGGTTAAAAAGTATAAGAAAAGTAAATATAAATTTTAAAAATTTTCAAGATCTATATCATCAGCACTAGATTTTTATTTTAAACTTTGCTAAAATTTACAGCCACAACAAATTTCTATCAACTTGTGTTTTATTTTTATTTTCAAATTCTATGAAACTTCCACTAAAATGTAAAAACACACCAACGATTCCAGTCGTACATATGGAATGAATATCATCATGATAATATTAATAAAAATAAAGAGAAAAAAAATCAAAACTATAGAGAATTTTTCAATCGAGGTTGACAGTAGTTAAAAAATTAATGTTCTGCACCACGGATAGGAAATAATATGTACTGATAATGAAGAAAGAAAATAAACGAAATTAACTTTCTCAATGACAAAAGTATTTTTTTTATACAAATGATGTAGATTCGGTCCCTCACAGTCCACAAAATCTCTTTCATCAAATATATTAACATGATAAATATTTTAACCACATTTTATTGATTATTCTACATCACGGTCTAGGTTCTACAGAACATGAATTCTAGGGAATCCAAATTGGGAACTATTTGTCAATAAAGCACCAGCGAGTAATGCTGATAAGTAAACCAAGATATATAAACATTTTCTTTAAGTAGAGCAGAAAGCGAATAATACAGCATGCTGCTGGAACAGATCAAAAAAGACAACAACAATTAGACAAGTGCAGTTCAGTTCAGTTCTCTATCAATTTAATATCTTAACTGTTCAAACAGACAATAGCAATTCAAGTTTACAGTCCATAACAGACTATTTCTATCTTCCAAATGGCATCCATACCATTTGTTCTATATAGAAATGGGGGAAATCATTTTTTTTTCAAACAAAAATATTTCATAAGTTTTCACAGAATATCAGTCTCATATATTTTATTCCTCTGTATCTGTGAAGCGGCTGGTTTCGCCGGCACAGCTGGTGCTTTTGAATTAGCAGAAGTGGTGACCACTACCGACGGCTTTGCTTCTTTAGGACTAAAATTAACCGCGTTTCCCGCCAAATGCGATTTTGCTTCCTTAGGATTAAAATTAACCGCGTTTCCCGCCAAATGCGTTAGGGATCCTGATGAGGGAGTCATTGAAAGAGCTGATTTGGATAATATATTACTTTCACTTCCAGTTTTCTTTAGGTCATTCATAATTGGGGTGGAAGTTGCAGATCTAGAGGGAAAGCGTTGAAGAATCTGACTGTTCTGGAGTTGCTGTAGCCTAGTGTACTGGTCCTGAAGAAGCTTCTGTTTACGAAGAAGCTCCTGATGCCGTTGTTCTAATACATCCTGTCTAGCTAGGAGTTGCGTGCGAGGAGGAGTAGGAGGGCCTAATTTTTTGGAACTTTTATTGGGAGTACCCCCATCTGGTGGGGTACCGCGGGATCCGCTAGATTTTCTCTCTTTCCCAAGGGGTGACAGACCGCTGCCAGTTTGGCCAACTTGCAGACCTTCCTGCGAATTCACACTTTCACTACTACTGCTGTTACTAGACAAAGTCTCTCTCCGAAGGCCTTCATCTGATATAGCACTGGTCCTCAGAAGTTCCTCGTCTTCCTTTTCCTTCAGAGCTGTACCCTCATCTTTAGACACAGACCTTGGTGCCGGCGCTTTTTTCACAGAATTGTCCATATCTCCAACTGGAGCTGAATTACTGCGCAATTGGCTGAACACCACATCTCTAGGACTACCAGGAACATTATCCTGAGTATCTGCAGTTGGAGATGTCATTGGTGATCGACTAGTCGTGCGTGGAGGTGGTGGAGGCGGAGCTTTCTTTTGAGAAATAGGGTTTGTTACCGTGCCTTCAACCCCATCTATAACAGTCTGCTTCGTATTGCCTCCTGGATTGACGGCTACTCTTACGATCATGTCTTGTGGTTTTTTAGATTCAGGAACTGGAGAATGGGATGGAGACACTACTGTTCGTTGAGCCCCCGATTCACTAACCTGCAATTTGCTTGTTATTGTTGCAGGTGATCGAAAAGCACTGTTTCCAGATGTGGTCACTTCTGGTTGTCCAGGCATAGAGGGAGCAAAAGATCGTGCAGGACTGCGCACGGGGGATTCAGCACTAGGATAGGATGGAAGTCGCCGTTGAGGTCCTAGTAGTCCAGGTATATTGTCTCGAGGCTGTTCTAGAGGTTTTGTAAAAGTTTGAAGTTCATCAAGCAATGCATCTAAAGCATTTTCAGAAGCTCTTTGGTGACCACCTGGTGGGACGTGTATCACAGTGTGGGGATCGGAAGCAAGAGCCTGAAAATTGAATTTTGAAAAAACATTTTTAGTAAGGCACAAATGGAAGAGCAAAACAGTTAGAACAATAAAAACGTTTAAGCGAACAACACATTTTTTTCATTAAAAAATATAATACATGTCAACATGAACTATCAACATTAGATGTATCGCAAAAAACAGTTTTAATTATTCCAATTTTTCATTAAAACTTGAGCTTTCTAAATAAAAACTAGCTTTAACTGAGTCTCTTGGCAGAAAGAAGAGATTTAACTATTTTCTTCAAGTAGTATGAAAATATTCTTAGATTCTTCCCGGAGTTTAAAGATCTATTCAAAATGAATCTTGAACTAAGAGAACTACACTATTTCTTTACAGGAATATTCTATCTATGATAATTAATTTGATATAGTAGATATTTTTTGATATCAATTCGATTTTCATTATATTTAATGAGCATGCGGTCTTTGAATGAAATAAATTATAGCTTGTAAAGTGTTCTCAATCTAAGATAAGGCAAATCTGATTAATGTCTTTTTTTAATTGAAGAACTTTTTAAATGGTTTTATTCAGTGACATTTGCTGGTACTCTGTACTATAATATTATACAGGGTGGTTAAAATTAAACGCACAGTACTCAGAGGCTCATATCTCCGGTTCTACTGGATGGATTCGAATGAAATTTAAAATATACGTTATGTAGAACATGCGCTCGAGGTTTTTGCAATAAAAAAAGTTGAAATTTTCGACAATAGATGGCGCTGTAATGACGTAAGAAGAAAGATAACACTAAAAATTCAAAGAATAAAGGAAGTTTTATTGAGTTACACACCCGTATGCTCTACGTTTTCAGCATATTGTTGACCGACAAGGTATGCACGTAGAGCATACGGGTGTGTAACTCAATAAACCTTCCTTTATTCTTTGAATTTTCAGTGTTATCTTTCTTCTTACGTCATTACAGCGCCATCTATTGTCGAAAATTTCAACTTTTTTTATTGCAAAAACCTCGAGCGCATGTTCTACATAACGTATATTTTAAATTTCATTCGGATCCATCCAGTAGAACCGGAGATATGAGCCTCTGAGTACTGTGAGTTTAATTTTAACCACCCTGTATATACCATAACATGGAAAAACACTAGAAATCAGGATTTCAATAAAACGCATTTACAGAAATTTTGAGTTACGAATTTAAATTTCCACAAAGATGTTTTATTATAAAGCTCTAGTTTGAAGTATAATAGTCTACACTAAAATATGCACACAAAAAAATTACACATGGGAAAAAAGTGAACCTACATTTAAATAAATAACATACAAACATTAAAATAAGTATAACGCATAAAATAGTTATCTCACATTGCTTTTTAATATGATGAAAAGTTTACAACACACAAAACTTCTGTTTTACAAGGTTAAAAATTCTAATTCCCAAGGTATTATTATGAAATAATATCTTTCTAATTTTCTGATTGCCATGACTAATCGTGTATTTTCTCATATTATTAAGACTAATGGTCAAGGCTAATGGTTTATAAAACTACGAAAGTAATGTTTATGACAATGAAGAGGCATGTAAGAAAAGGTTGAGTGATATTTTAGTTAGTTTGAGAAGAGTCAGTGTTTCCAAGTTCAAAACATCGCTTTACATATTCTTTTAATACGCACTTCAGTAATAGAAGAAATAAAATTTAAAAATAATTAAATTTCGATGAATTTTAATTTGCTAGTCTATAAATTATAATTCAGGTTCTTATTGATTGTAACTGGTTAAAATGTTTCATCATGTTATACTCTGTAAAAAGTTCCGTATCTAAATTACAGTAACTGGCACACTGAGTGCAGCATCCGTAAAATCTAGTTTACCGTAAAATCCATTTTAACCGTATAATTTTATACCGCATTTTTTTCAGTAAATATTACTGTAAAAGTTATGGTATATCAGATTTTTGCTCCTTAAAATTTAGCGGGAAAAATAGATTTTATGGTAAAAAGTACTAACAACATCAGTACCGGTATTTTTTTTTTGTACGTAATTTGATCAGGATTTTTTTTTACGGTGTAGTATGACATTAAGGGCCATCAATGAACGATGTCACACGTTTTTTCAATATTTTTAAAGTCCTAATCTTTGTTCCAAAGTGTAACATTTTATCATACCTCTTATACCCTCTTTGTCATACAATTTTATATAAAGCATACCAGTTTAAAAACAAAGCACATGTTATAGATCATATTTCAAATTTTATATTTAAAACTTTAACAGTGTTTGCGAGCATAATAATAATAATGATTAGGTGAGTATTTACTCTGTGCAAAAAAATCTGTAGTCTTACTAGAAAATCTCTAGGAAACTAGGATTCTATATTCATAAACATCTTTAGGAATGTTGCTGTATTAAATTTAGTAAACATCGCATGTTTACTAACTTTTAATTTAGTAAACATCGCATGTTTACTAACTTTAATGCAGTAACATCACAAGAAAAGTTTATGGAATTCCAAATTACTAGTAAGTTTATAGTAAGACTACAGATTTTTTTACAGTGCATTTTGATGAAAAAATATCAAACAAATAATATGAAAAAATTTAATAAGCTGATTTTAAATATTTTTTATTTTAATCGAAACGTGGAATATCACACTTCTTGTTACCTCCTATCCATGTCCCTCCCATTCAAGTGTGACATAATTTTTGGATGGCCCCTTAACATTAACTTCGATTTTTGTACGGCAGAGAAAATATATATGTCAGTTTAATATTAAATTTTTACAATTTCATAACTTTAAGTAACGTAATTACAAGAAATAAGGAAGTACTATTAATTCATAAAAATATTTATTTAATCGGAAGTCAGCTTTAAAATTTAAAACTTCTGACTTAATTCAATTGAAATTGTCGGCATAATTATTTCAGAGAAATTTTCTATGAAGTACTTGATGAGTTGCGTTATAAGGAAACAATAATACACAATCAAAATGGGGTTGGGGATCAAGAAATAATACTTAACTCGAAGACAAACCTGCTCATCGAGTCCCTGAACTTGCGAACCCTTCCACTGGCTGCGTAAAAAAGGAAAAATCCAGAAAACTCAAGCACTTTACTTGAGCAAAAAAACACTTTCTTCAAAAAATCAATTCTGAAAAAGGTCTAATCAAGCAGCCGTTTACAAAAAATATTATGACTGTGAAATTTAAGCCACTCTCAAGAACTGTGCTACATACATTTTGGAAAAAAATGTCATTTTTAAATTTCGGATAAAAACTAGGATTTTATTTCAGGGCTATCCAAGCATGATATTTCTAAAAAATGTAACACGTTTTGTGCATTGTTGTTACTTACACCTTTAATTTTCAGACAATAATAATAAAAGGACAAAACCCACAGTAAAATTAATCAAATATCCTCTCCTTAACAAAATATTCATTTCACATACTTCAAATTTTCTCAAGTTAAATATTTATTTATTTTTTATGTATGCAAAATCGTATATTTCTGAATACAAGCGGAAAAATTTCGGAAAATAATTCAAAAGTTTAAGTGAGAGATCAGCTTATAATTTAATCCATTGCATGGAAACAAAAATATTTTTACGTCAGGAGAGCATTAGCGTTAGATCGCTAAATGGCGCTTACCAAACATATAAATACACAAAATAACAGCATAAAATAAAAAGCCTAATTCTATATTTTTGCCTTATAAAACAGCAAACGAACAGAAAAAGTAAAATAAAAAGTCAGATAGTTCTCACTGTTAGCGTATGAGTTATTTTGGCTTTTTGCCAAGTTGAATTGCTGATAACATTAATCTCATTGGTACATGTAATGCGCTAAGGTTATTCAGAGGAAGTATTTATATTCACGTTTAAAAGGAGGTACTTGCAGTACTGAACTGCTTTGTTCATCAAAAATTATAATTTATAATATCGCAAGCACGGGAATTTCGTACGATTTATACAGATAACTTAATTAATAATGTGCCTCCAAGCATATCTAGGTAAAGCTGATAGTACTGAGAATAATAATTAGAAAACATTACCGTCAAAATGCTTTTAATTGCATTCTGTTACTAGGAAACATATGTTTCATTTTCGATTTCTAAATCTTGAAAATGGAAAATGCAGATATGCATTTCGCAACTGCAAAATTAACGGCATAATTCATTTGCATAAGAAGGAAACTTGGAATTGGTGTACTTTTCGCTTTAGTATAACTCGTTTTGTTGTGCGATTAGTTTTAGAGCATGCTATTTTATGACTTTTCCACAAAGTACATTTTGATCCCACAATTTCGATTTTATGATAAGAAAAAAAAAGTATGGAACTCTATTAAAATTTATTATAATATTAATGGTAAATATTTTCAAATTTTACGCAATTTTTTTGATCCGCTGTTGTTCTATGTTAGATGTATATTGATAGAAAAATCCGCTTAATTGACAAATGAAATAAGTCCGATTTTGTTTGAAAAATAAACAATAAATTATATGAGGAGTTGACATTGAAAAAATGTTCAGTATCAAAAAATCGTTAATGTATTGAAACAGATTTCTGCTCGAGGCTAATAGAGTCTCAAAAAAATAAGTACATGGCTTACACATTAAATATTTTGAGATTCTCCAGAGGTTGAGCTAGTAGCATTAGCAATTTTTTCAGTCACTCTATTTCTCTTTTTTACTCTTAAGTTTTGTTCTTATATCGCTTAACTACTTTTCAATGACAACTCCCCAAATAATCTTAGTAACTTGGACAGCCCGCGTAATTTATAAAAATAAATCATAAAATTAAGTTTTTTCAAGACTGAAAACTGTGACTAATCATTTATTTCTTTTTAAAACATATTAATTACATTTTAAATGATTTGGTTTAACAAAAATTAATATACTTACAAGTTCATGCGAATTAATTTAGTTCAAATATATTTCAAAATTTAATCCTAAAAGCTTTTTGACAGCTCCATAAAGTGATATTATTACGATTTGGCATTAGCTTAATTGTGTTTAATACATTTTACGAATAA